TCAACCTTGTTTGGGTTACTGCTCTACCCCCCTTGTTGGATTTTGTTTCAACCGAGTAACCCCCCCTTGCTGACCCAACACGGTTCTGAGGTATAAATGTATGAATAATGAACCAATTGTCCACTTTGTGAACTATCCTAACTAGCTAGTAACTGCAAGTGAATAAAAAAAACTTCAACGGACGCTCTGCATGCATGATGTAATCTGTCCGTGCTCGCTGGTTACTCTTGGCAACCACATTGTTTACGATCAATGATTTTAGAAAGGTCTTTTAAATCGTTCTAAGTTACCATATGGATTTAAATGTTATCGTAGTTATTTAACATTGACAGATTCATACATGATTATTCACCAAGGACTCTCATGTACGATATCATTTCATACATGTATGAATCACCTCACGTGTACCCCCTGAGACATTGCCACCTAGCCCCCATGGGTCCGCGTACTCCTGGTTGAGAACCACTGGCATAGAGGGATATTAAACAATGGACACACAGACAGGATAAGATGAGGGAAGTGTTTGTTGCTTGTATGAAGGGCGTTGTTGGCCTTCTGCTTATCCACAGACTCCACATATATTGGGGATCGTTCTCGTGCCTCCCTGCATCCTCATGCTCTTCTCTTAACTATGAAATTGCGGATGATAGGAAGGGTTTATCTGCAGTTATTTGGTAGCAGCGCAGATCAGTGCTCCTTGGTAGATTATAGGATGGGATACAAAATGAGTTTCACTTTCTCTCTGCTACACACTGGCAGTTTTTTTTCCATGTGTCCACCACGGACTCGGCACCTTCAGCAGAGATCGTCAATTCTCATTGGAATTTAGAGAACGTGGATTGGACACCCGAGTAATAATATTAGCAATGAAAGCAATGAAACAAATCATTAAGTGTTTGTCGGTTCTAATTTTTTACCAATTGAAAATTGTAAATTGGGAAGAATAATCTTGCTAACGCGTGTATTTTGTAGCATTTTCCAAAGTGCCCTTGTCATCGGATGTACGCGATTAGCGACGATATTGATGGGCTCCAGGCTGCATAATGAGACGGCGACACATGGCTCATGATGCGTGCTATCCAGGAGTGATGTCATCACCTTGCCGTGCCAGGCAGTTCACTTCAAGTGGTGGCTTTTTATTGACAAGTTTTGGACAACTCCTTGAATCAACGCGGTGGGTTTTCTTTTGGGTTAGTTCATCATGGCAACATAACTTTGCAATTAAATAATTAACAAGGCCGAATAATCTTTACGAGAGTTACCATGGACCCCTGTTACATGCAGTGGGCAGAGCGAACGCACAAACGCGTTCAACCTTGGTTGGAAAAGCGTTTACTTTTAATCCAGATTTAAAATACACTTTTCATGTTTTCTAAACCGTTTCAGTTTGTATTGGGGGTAGCTTAAGTTCATGACATCTTTGAATGTGCTGTTCTTAAAAGTTTTCTTTAATCCTTTATAAAATTGACACTTGTTTAAGCGAGAAGCATTGCACCGTATTATAATCTTGGAGGGTAATCACGGTTTCCATTAGCGATTACCTGGACTGTACGTAAAAGTGACAGGAATGCAGCAAAACGTCGCGTTTTTGTGCTTTCCTATTAATCGCACTGAGGGTTTGGCATTAATGGTTCGATTTTAAAAGATAAGTTCCAGAATGCTGTGATCTTAAACATGATACAAATGTTTTCATGGCATAGACAAAGTGATTCCTGCACATATTTAACTCTAAAAAGGGAGCGTAACTTTAAATAATTACATCACTCACAAGGAACAAACTCGTCTGTTCATCGACAATTTAAAGGCACTGTATCTTCAGCCTTTGGGTTGCACTGTAACTGCACTCTCGGTTCACGTCTTTTTTTTACAAACAAAAGCCAAGGTATTAAAAGCAAAATATAAACCACGCAATGTAACTCGGATTTGCCAAATATCCCCAATGCTGCGATTTTACTCAGTTGGGATTTTCTGCAGCGGCATCGCCCCCCCCTACTGCAAAATAACTTCCTAGGATCATCCCGAAAAAAAAGTCTTTAGAATCAAATGAAGCTTTCTTGGGTAAAACAAGTACAATAACATAAATTACTTGGAACATTTTTTTTAATGTATAGTTTATGAAGAATTAAATTCACAATGTGAATTCCAAATATTTCACATGGTTTAATTAAGTAGCAAAGTGTTTACGTGATAAACCTTCCTAATTGGCTGTGTCGGATGGTGGTGGGTTTAATGACACATTTATATTTACTCGAGAAAAAAAAAACCTGTATTGTAGTAATTCTGTTTGTAATACCTTGGAATGTCCCTCATGTTTGTGATGAATTCGGCATAGCATGATGCTTGCCTTTCCTATTCTCCGATCATGTTTTGTTTGTTGTTGTAACTTTCTGTCCCTGAGTCCCTACTGGACATATGTGAAAAAGAGCTTTACAGCTCATCTGGTTCCTCCTCCAGTATACATAAATATTCTGATCGTTACATCCGTGTGAGCACACTCAATGTTTAGATTATTCTTTTACCCTTGACAGTGGGACTTGTCCTGAACTTGTCACAACACGCTTAACGAAGATTAATTGGCTATTGTACGGGGTGCTCGCCTGCTGTGAATGGGCGCCCATTGTGCCTTTTGTTCCTGCTGTGGATGGCGCTGCCAGTGCCACCGTGGGTCTAGCGAAAATCGCTGCACGCCGTGGGGCTCTCGCCCTGGCAACTGCCCCCGCGGCGCCACGGTGCCCACTCGCTACCCTGCAAGAGCCTCTCCCGTTTGTTCGACCGGATATTGTGCGTTGGTAGGAAAGTGCTTTAAAAAAAAAGTATTAATTCCAAAAGAAGTTACTTCCAGTGTATTAGTGCACGCGTAAAAGTTCAGCGTGTTTTTAATTTATTTGCTGGGGCCATCAGTTGATGTCAGCTGTGATTCCCTCGTGCTCTCGCTGCGTGGCTGAACCTGAAGTTCACTTTTTCAACCCCTTTTCTTAGTCAGCTCAGGCTTGGCTCTGGCTCAAGTGAAACTAAACAAAAAAATAAACAATTTCACGTATTTTACCAGGTAAACCCCACTGAGCTGTGTAGCTCTTTATCAGAAGTGACCTGGCCACAAATGATAGCCCAATGTTAGTGGCTTACTGTATGGACATTTATAGTAGCCAAATACTCTTAAATGCGTGATGTTGATTATAAATGTGGAGGGAAAAACTGGAGGACCCGAAGAAGAATCCACACGACCATGGGGAGAGAGAGACATGCAAACTCAAATTATACAGCAGGTAGCAGGGTCGGGATCGAACCTACTACCTCCTGTATACGAGGCGAGGTGGTTCTACATATTGTTACAGCGGTACAATTGAGCTGGCTCAAAACCATGCTTAACTTGTACCGGCTCTGAGGATGGTTCCAATGGTACCAGCCATCCTCAAGATTTCCATGAGCTGAGCCGAGCCTGAGCCGAGCCTAAGCCGAGCCTGAGCTCAGCTGCTTCATGCGTCTTTGAAAACAAGTGAGCGTCTCAAGCCTGAGCTGAGGCGCATGAGAGGCCAAGAAAGAGTTGATCCACGAGTGAGTTTACGAACCTTAATGTCCAAATCATTGATGTGCTCGTGTGTGTGTGTGTGTACGAGGATGAACTCCCGTCAGCAAACTTTTGAGACTTCACAAGGCCTCAGTGCACCGAGCCTGGCACAAGGGCTGTGGTGACATCACCGCCACTTAGTGGCGAATGGTGGCTACTGGTGTTGTTGAGGATGAGGCTGCGTCACCCCTCTGCACTGTATAATATTTAGAAAATGTCACGAAATTGTTCATTGTAAGTTGCTTCTTTATCGTAGAATACTTTACGGTAACAACCCATGTGTGCCTGCATGTCGGTGTATGTCGACTTAGTCATGGGTGAGTGTCTGACTATTCAAAGCATATGCAAGGGAGCCTGCCATTGACTCTGCACTGCTATAATTCACAGAGTACATGCGAGGCACGTGTTTTGTGATATCGCCCCCAACGCTGGCCTCCTCTTCACCCTCCCTGTGTACCATTTGCTGGTGATTTAAGCATCTACATTGACAATTCATCAAATCCCTTCTCGCGGACTCTCCAACCACTCCTGGAATCTATTGATCTCTCCTTGGTGATTTCCTTTTCTCACGCCCGTGGTTGTCCTGTTCGGCCATTCTCTCTCACGGGGGTGGTGCTCACTCATTGCTCCTGCCAGGGTTACCAATCGCCGCGCCTGCATCTCAAGGAATGACGTCACGAGCATAGTTGGAATAACATTTAGGGGAATTACTTATTTGTGGTCCGCCATAGGATTGTGGTTCTCACCCGGGGGTACGGGGACCCTTGGGGGTACATCGCAATGTCCCAGGGGGTACGTGAGGTGATTTATAAATGTGTGAAATTATATCATATATGAGAGTCATTGGTGAACAATCATGTTGTATGAATCTGCCAATATAAAATAACTACAATAATATTTTGATCCACATGGTAACCTAGTGCGATATAAAAGACCTTTTTTTAACTCATTGATCGTAAACAATGCGGTTTCCAAGCGTAACCAGCGAACGCGAACAAATTACGTCACTCGTGCAGAGTGTCCGTTGATTTTGTTTTTATTTGCTTGCAGTTACTAGTTAGTTAGGATACCTCGCAAAATCGACAATTGGTTAAAATATTGATGTTCATTATTCATACATTTATTTCTCAGAACCATGTTGGGTCAGACAACAAGGGGTACAGTAGCCAAAAGAGGTTGAGAACCACTACCACAGGATAAAGCGGTTGCTGAGTATTCCAACAGAGCGTGCAGTGTTGTTATGAAGTTCACGGGAATGATCATAGGGCCCGTTGCGGTAGAGTGATAAGGAGGCGTCGGCGAACGAGCGAGCGAAGTCGATCAGGGGAGTTGTTAAGACCTGCAGACTGACGGGCGGCCGCTGCTGCCGCTGTGTGCCGCTGTGTGCCGCTGTGTGCTGCTGTGTGCTGCTGTGTGCTGCTGTGTGCTGCAGGCAAGCCGGAGGTGCTGGAGCACGAGGCGCGCGTGGCGCTGTCCGGCATGTTCAGCGTGAGGAAGGGCCGCACGCAGCTGCACAAGTGGTCGGAGCGGCGAGTGGTGCTGTGCGGGACCTGCCTGCTCGTCTCCTCGCTGCGCGAGAGCCTGCAGGGAAAGCTGCACGTCATTCCGCTCATCGGCGGCAAGGTAAAACAACATCAGTGTAGTAAGTTTGGAATTCGTGATGCTTTAAGAGCGTGATGCCATCCTATAGGAAGGCGGCGCTTTGATTCTCAACCAAGTGGCTTATCATGTGGAAATGTATCATGTGGAAATTTATAGTAACCATATACTATATGCCACTGGCCCCTTTAAATACTTGATCTGCTGCCCCAGCCATACCTCTCCTCATGGTTCATAGCAATAATCGGTCCTGAATTGGTTGTGATATTAAATGGGGTTTTTGATGTTGAAGTCGCCACCCAATTTCAGTAGTCTTCCCGCAGAGCCCAATGGGATGCAGGGGGGGGGGGGGGTGTGAGCCGCTCGTTTTACAAGTTTAATTTGAGGCTGAAAGTGTCCGCCTTGAGGAAGAGCGACAGGGGACAACTTTTATTTCTTCCTTCCTGTTCTACCCTTAAGATTTTCCTATAAATAGATCATTTCCGGCGCTTGCTGGAAATAGTGGCGAAATAAATTAAATATATAATGCAACCAAAGTGCTCCCTTTCACTCCCATCCATGTTTCCATGGATCGGAGTGAAAGTCTCCCCCATCTCCAAAGACGGTTGGGAAAGTGCCGGCTGCTTACTTGGCATGGCTGCGAGGCAAATCACCTTGCCCGGGAAGTTTCGCGGCCTCAACACCGCAGCCCGTGCTCACGTACAGAGATTCCCCCCCCGACAGCGAGCGACGTGCCGACTCGGGAGATCTTCAAACACAAAAACACGCACTGCTTCGCGCAAAAACGAGTTCCCGCCAAAAACCGGCACCACCGCTGGCGGGGGATCTCAAACTCCCCGGAGGCCAGCAGCGCGTCTCCGTGTGCATGAGCGTGCACGCGCTTGTGGGGACCCGGGATCAATTCCCGCTCATGACTAATAACAGTGGCCATTATTTGAACTGGGCCTCTTCTCGGTGAAAGTATCCTTAAGTGAGTAGCTGGCGTGGTGTACAAACATCAGCACTGGGGGGGATGAAGGCGGCATGGCGTGGTGCTGGCCATCCACCCTCTTTGTGTGCTGTGCCGGCCTTCATAGGTGCTAGTCACTAATATCACTTGCCCTCAACAGTCTGTTAAAGGCTACATGGGGGGGTCTTTGTCTTTGTGCGCCTGTGCAGGTGGAGGAGGTGCGCAAGCGCCAGCACTGCCTGGCCTTCAGCTCTGCAGGACCCCAGACCCAGACCTACTACGTCTCCTTCAACTCGTTTGCGGAGTACCTGCGCTGGCTGCGCCAGGCCTCCAAGGTAACGGTGCCGTTCACCAACGTGCTCCCATCGACGTTCGTCCTCATCCCGTCTTCGCATCACCACGGTGGCGTTTGTCTTCACGTCACCACGGTGGCTTTTTGTCAATGTTGTGATTTGTATTTGTAATATATTACTGAAAAGAAGAGGTGTGGTTTACTAGGCCTGTAATAGGGCATTCATTTAATACATTGATTGCTACACTTGTGGATTAACCTTTTGCTGCACGAGGTGCGTGAAAACACTGGCTTCGTCTGTTCCATAGCCGTGCTGTGGCCAAGATAGGCCCCTTCCCATGGTCCATTGCCTCTTCAATGTTTTGTCCTCACTGCCACTCACAGCATAGACGGAGCTTCCAATATTGAAAGACTTCCAACATTCCAATTAATACAATTCGCAATTTAAAAACAAACGTGTGTTGAATGCCAATGGGCGAATTTTACCTTTTGGAACCTTCCTTCAGATTGTGTCCCAGAGGATTGGTTCGGTGGACCTGTCATGCTGCAACCTGGAGGAGCTCCCTGAGCCGCTGTTCCACAGCCAGGATGTAACGCACCTCAACCTGCGCCACAACCTCCTGGGGCACGGCATCGGCGACACGCTCAGGTATGTGCGTGCGTGTGTGCATGCGATAGACACCGAGGCGCTGACCAGCATCTTTTCTCTCATCCTTGTTCAAACCCCGTATCTCTCCTGGTTACCTGCGAGAGATGATAGGCGGCAGCCATGGTTTTATGAGGTTTTTACATCGACACGCTTACTGGTTCACTCTCCCGATATTCCTTTCAGCTAAAACTCTCATCACACGGGGAATTACATTCAATAAATTTATTTCACAATGCTGCGTTGGCAGTGGTGTGTAAGCACTGTTACCAACAAAAACTCAACAGGCTCGTCAACAAGACAAAAGAGATATACAGTCTGTTCTCCTATAACACGTTATTTGCGTTCCTGAAGAACACCACGTTATGGAAAAATCGTGTTATAATATATAATATAGGGTAAAGCACAGTCCACGATAACACATGAGATGAGTACGCAGGTTGACTAAAGACTGAGACGCGTGAGTAGCGTCTAGAAGCATCCAGCAGCATCCCACTGCCTTGTGCAATGCTATGCCGAGGCAGCCGTACGACCTCTTATTCCTACTCGCGCAACCGAGTTCTCTATATGAAAACAATACGTGGCGTTATAGGAGAATAGACTGTACAAGGCGACGTTTCAGGCAATGGCCCTTCAGAGCACGTTGCACAAACGTGCTGCTTTCTTATTTAAAAGTTGTTTTGGTTGATGTTTCAGGCAGTGTCGCAGATTATATATATTAAAATGATCAGGTACCGTTGACCATTGTGTGTGTTTTTAGGGCGTTACGTTGACTAAAGACTGAGACGCGTGAGTAGCGTCTAGAAGCATCCAGCAGCATCCCACTGCCTTGTGCAATGCTATGCCGAGGCAGCCGTACGACCTCTTATTCATACTCGCGCAACCGAGTTCTCTATATGAAAACAATACGTGGCGTTATAGGAGAATAGACTGTACAAGGCGACGTTTCAGGCAATGGCCTTTCAGAGCACGTTGCACAAACGTGCTGCTTTCTTATTTAAAAGTTGTTTTGGTTGATGTTTCAGGCAGTGTCGCAGATTATATATATTAAAATGATCAGGTACCGTTGACCATTGTGTGTGTTTTTAGGGCGTTACATTGATTACATATCTTTAGGGACGTCGCAGCTATTACCTAAATCGGTTTTAACCATAGCTAGTCAACACCCCCCCCCCCCCAGGGCTGGCAGATACTGAGCCTCCTTTGTGTCCACAGAGACAGCTGTCACTGGATTTTTCCCGTTGAAAATGATTGAGATGAAATGTGTGATGTAAAGAGCTCTGAAATATTCTGGCGTAAAGGGGATTGGATTAATCCACTGTTTAGCTGCTGGTTACTGCGAGAACAATAGGTTTGATTTTACTTTTTGTTTTGTATCGCTAATTGGATTCTACTGCACACGCGGCCTTGGTGTGTATGTTCTCAGGCTACACGGTGTTGATAAACGGATGATGCTGTGCCGTGCAGTAGCATTGTGCGAGTGCCAATCCTGACTGCTTGTAGCTGCGAGACTGAAGGACGCCCATGGAATTTTCCACTCTGGGCGTGTTGAGCTGCGATCGAATTTCAATCAAAATTAAGTCAACAAGTTTAGGAAGCGCTATCGTTTGTTGCATGGCTCTGGCTTGTTCGTGAGGTAAACATAATTTATTACTCTTGCAATTTTTTATATAACCACACAAGTCAAGACCAAAAATGCTGGTTTCAGAGCTTCGTGCGTTTGTGCCTTATTGTAAAAAAATATATATTCTAATTTCTCCCGAGTAATTACATTTCTGTCAGCATGTGCTGAGTGTGTATGAATTTCTGTTTTTGCATTCATCTGTGTGTGTACTTCACTTGTATGCCCCAAAGAATAAAATACACCATTGTTAACAAGTGGGTAGTTTGTGGCCTTCTTAAGCATAGGATTGTTCCACTGGTCCTTACATTCAAGGAGTTTGAATCAGCCCTGTAATGTCCCGGTAGCCAAGTGGTTAGGGGCTTGACTTAGAATAATGATGTTAGCGTTCGAATCCCAGCTCGCCACCCTCCCCGGCACCAACGAAATTAACACCGCTGTGCGGGAGGGCGACATCGGTTATCCGACGAAAATACTGGCCGCTGCCGTGGGAATATGAAATTTATTTCACTGGCGTATGGCCACCATTGCACAGGAGCCCTGCCTTATTGATCAATGGGAATTTGGGTAAAGTTGACTGTGCAATAACACTTGTTCTGCAGGCAGTGTTCCTTATGCAGATGTTTTTGCCCAGAGTCTACTTGTTGCGTACTGTGTATTTAATTAGTGCCGATTGCATGCAGCATAGTGAACCTTAAATCTGCTATGATTGATTTGTTTCCTTGGCATTTTTAAACTTCGAGATTCTTCCAGTTTCTTCATGTGATGGTGTTGCCTACCATGTAGTGTTATCCTGGTATACTGGTGTGTATGTGAAGCCTTTCTCTGGATATTTCAGTTTTTGTCCACACCATTAGCCGGCTTAACCCTGGCAATGCAGGACCCCTGAGTAAGAGGTCTGTGGCTCGTTAATGGTTTCATGGATAAATGCATGACATTTTCTTTTTAAAAATAGGCCTTTGATGAATTTGAACTATTTACATGAAGGAGCAAAGGTGAATGCAAAAAACCCTGAGGGAGCATTGCACTGTGTTGTGTACATACAGTAGTGGATCTATACGTTTGGAGAAGGGAAGATTGGACAAAGATTAAGCACATTCTTCTTGTGACACAATTAGTTAAACGCAAGGATTAAAACTATCAAACTTTTTTATTTTAGCAGGTAAGGCCCACTGAGCTATATACCCTTTTTTCATCAGGAACCTGGCTGCAAATGATAATTCAGTGAAGAGGCTTATCAGGTATACATTTATAGCAGCCAAATACTACATTTGGAGGGAAAAACCGGAGGACCCGAAGAAAAATGAACGCGACCATGGGGAGAGAGACGCAAACTCCAAATTTCCAGCAAGGCTTCAGGCTAAGGATCGAACCCATGACCTCCTGTGTACCAGGCAAGGTAGTTAACATCTTGCCATCGTGGCGCCACAGGAGCTCCACTGATATGGCGGGGGGGGGGGGGGGTAAACCCCTAGAGGTGACGTGGAATATTTTCTTGGGCGGTTCCCTACGGCGCGGCGGTCCGGGCACTGCCAATCTCCCGCCCGAGTTTGCTGCGGCGGTCGTTCCACGCTGCCACCTGCGGGCTTCGTCCCTCGTCCCTCGTGCCTCGTGTTGTTTAGAGCCGGCGTGGGGCGGTAACGGTGGCGGTAATGGCGGTGGTCGCGGCAGCGCTCGCTCCACGCCACCTTTCCTTCTCTACCCCAGATGTGCGCGGTACAGATGTGGTTTGATGCAGTGAGCCCAGGGCGGCGCGGCTGCGTGAGCCTGGTCAGCTCCAGTGACGCACGGCCTCTTGTCACGGCGCTAATGAGACGAAATGGGAAACGCTACGAGAGCCTTGCGCTGATTTTCTGACTGAAAACAAACCGCGAAGGCGGTGGCGCTTTAAACGTTCGAGTTGAAACCGGCAGTGGTTGTAAAAGGCAACACAATCAATGGTGTTTTATTTACTGGGATAACCAAGTTGTCCTATCAATGGGCAAAATGCCGAAACCCAATCTCCGCCTTGCTCATGGGAGCAGTTGTATGAGTAACAGCGTTGTCAATGCAAGCAGGTTCAAAGAGTGCTGCGCCTGATTTATTCCAATTCCCCCAAATCGATGAGGACATTGTTAATTGATTGCCGCCTGGTCAGGTGGTAATGTCAGATAATTCACGTCAAATAATGGCTCATTGTTATGGGTAACCACCATCAAAATAATTTTTTTATCCTTTTCAACACTTTTCAACACTTTGTGGTGCTCTTCTGTGTGGAGAGGGTTTGATGGCATTAAGCAATGCATTACAGTGTGCCCTTCACCCAAGCAACCCGGATGAGCACCGCATTGAATGTATCACACCCCTATTACAGCAAAACAGCCGTCAGCATTTTACAGCATTGAGGAAACAGGTTATTTGACTGAGAGGTATAACTGGGGGAAGCGTTGTGTTATAATGCACCACCACCCTACTCTGTATGCTATGCTATGTGATATATGCAGCTGCTTTCTCTGTTGTATATTTAGACTTCATAGTGAAGAAGTAGAGGGGTGAGGCAGTGTCCCCCGCTAAAATATTGCAGAGGGCCACCGCCACATCAGAAACTGATCTTGTCGGGCCACATGTAGCTATCCCCATGTGTGAAATAAATTTTGTTTTACTTATCCTTATTCATTGGAGCTTGGGAAAGTTAGCGGACGGAATTTTAGTAGATTCAATGAAGCACTCCTTTACAATTCCTGTGTCACTCAAAGCCTTCAGGTGTTTCAGCAAAATCCATACAATTCGAAAATATGCAGCAGTCAATGCAGATTCTTGTGCAGTTGCTTGAGTCAACAACTGCTCCTGGCAATTCAGGGTTGCTTTCAGTTTCTTTCTGTGTTCTTTTCTAATGGAAGATCCCACCGGAAAATAAACGTACTGTATAATCGCTGTGCGTTGTTGTAAAATGCCTTTCCAGATTTCTCCGTTTCATAATTGCCGTAGATTTCTGGTAAATCGAACAGATGGGTTTATTTGTTAACTCCGTAAAAAAAGTTTTATACTTCCAGGCAGAGTTACATTTTCTCTCGCCCTGCTTTAGATCATCTCCATTTTTTCTTATCGCACATTTTTATCGGCCTTGTGTAGGTTAAGCACCTGCGGCCTGGCTTGAACTTCCTTCAGAAAGCTCTGGAAACTCAGTTGTTGTTGGCATAAAGCAGTCTCTAACTTCACTTTAAGGGTGTGCATTCTCATCAGTGTCGGTTGTATTCGTTGCCGTGAACGTTGTTTCCACTACCAGTAGGGTTCTACTACTTCTTCTGTCGTACGGCTGCTGATGTAGATGCAGTGCAACGACTACAATCTCACATTCAGGTGGTCAAGTCAAACAAACTGCGTCAGGAGTAGCGGGAGGTTATCGCCGTGATGTCTGCTTCATATTTGTGGATTGGGTGTTGTGCCGTAATACGTTGTACGTTTCTGTTGTGGTCATCCAGAGGTTTCTACTGTCGAAAATGGACATGAAGTATTACGCCTTGATGATGGACCTTCGTTTTAGCTGATATTTCTACAAATGCCAAAACATTGGCAATGTTCACACTGATACCTCATTACTGAATAGCGGAAAGGTATAATACTAGGTTAATTGAAAGTGAAAATATAGAGTAAAGCATAAAATAGATGTTTTCTAGGTCCACATAGTCATGAAGTGCGTGTTAATTTTAAATCTAAATCAAAGCACGTGTAACATTACCAATGCAAGGGGATGGTCAGTTTGACATGTAGGCTTTCCCTACCAATATTATTCCCAATAAAAGTTTTTTTGTGTTAGATTAAATATGAATGTGTCGTTAACCCACTGCCATCCGACACAGCTAGTGAACATTGTGTCTGCTCGCAGTGCGTCAACATTTATGAATGCGATGCCTCCGCAGGTTTTCTCAGCTGCGGAGCCTCAACTTGTCTCACAACAGCCTGGGAGTGTTCCCAGAGATGTTGTGCCACATCCCCACGCTCACCGAGCTCAACCTCTCCTGCAATGGTTTGCCAAACCTACCTGCAGCCATTGGCAACATGAACAGGTACCACAGCACTTTTTTTACTTTAACTTTTGTATTTTTTCAGGTAAGTCCCCACTAAGCTCTATAGCTCTTTCTCAGAAGCGACCTGGCCACAAATGATCATCCAATAAAGTGCTTTATAAGGAAATTTAATGTAGCCAAACACTCTAAACGCATGTTTTAAAATGTGGAGGGAAAAACCGGAGGACCCGGAGAAAAGTCCACGCGGCCACCAAATATACAACAAGCATCAGGGTTAGGATAGAACCCACGACCTCCTGCATACCAGGCGAGGGAGTTAACATCTTGCCACCGCGGTGCCCCATGGGAAATTATTATTATTATTTCTAGTCATGCTCGTTGATCCAGGAAACCCTCACCGAGTCTCAAGACCCTTGCTCAATATGTCTACAAGCTTGATCAGCAAATTGTACACGGACATAAAATGAGATGAGAATCACGCGACGTATTAAATTGCCTTTCATTGAAGTGCTTTATACTCTATATGGCACAAGGCAAAATCACACTGTTCCCAATAAAACAAATGCGAAACCACGTTTAACGAATATGGCACTTTAATTCAATGATACCACCGAATTTTTATTATAATTAAGCTCGTAAAATTTTGACTTAACTTTCGTGACTGCAGGAATTTATATTTTTTGGTTCTTTCGGTAAAGTCACGTAAATAGAACTCCACGTGACTTTAACAAAAGAACCAAAGAATATTAAGCTCGTTTTCCCAGAAAAGTCTCACTGAGTCTCAAGACATTTCTCAAGAGGGTCCTGACAAGTTTTCTCAGCAGGGGATGATATTGCCCTGTGCATAATCCCAATTGAAGTAATTTTGCAGGTGAATGTTTTAGAATTGGGATGTTTGGCCAATACCAATTATGTTGTGTGTGTTTTTTTAGCTGTAGAAGGAAATTGGAGAACTACCTTGTCGCCACATGTACGCTCAACCGGGCATTGTGCCGCTTGTATACGAGTGCTGGTGATAACTTCCGTGCGTTTGTGTGTGTGTAGTCTGCAGAGCTTGGTGCTGGATTGCAATGCGCTCTCAACTCTCCCTGAAGAGCTGACAAATCTCCAGAGCCTCGCCTACCTGGGCCTTTCCTTCAACTTCTTTGAGAGAATGCCACCCATCTGCCAGGGCTTGCTGGCCCTCGAGAGGGTCTGCCTGGCAGGCAACCGCATGGACATCTTCGAGATGGGGTCCTTGTCTGACCTCAGACATGTGAAGCTCGTTGATCTCAGGTGCGTTTTCTTCTGGGTTTTTTTTTCTTCTTCTAAACTTATTTGCTGCGCACAGACTCAAAGTCCCAAAAGGTCAAGTGACCAGCACCAAACCCTGGCTGCAATGGAACCTGATTACATTTACTTCTGAATCAACCCACAGTCTCAGACCCGTTTTATTAGTCACAGCTCACCTCAGCCTTGGCTCAAGTGAGCCGACTCAAAGCCATGCTCTTAACTTCAGCTGGCTTTAAGCAGGGTCCCAGCCACGCTGAGGATATCCGTGAGCGTTTCTGGAAGCAACTGCGCTGCTGGAGCCTGAGCTGAGTCGAATTCGAGGCCGAGGCCGAGCCAGAGGCGTGCTTCACCTGAGATATTACCGCTCTGAGGTTCGTCACAGGAGGGACATTAACGCGTAGATTCTTAACACTGCTAATGCTTGTAACGCTAATACAATGTTCACATTTACGTACTCGTAACCATTACTCGATTGAGCTGTATCCATAATCAACAAAAAATCAACAAATCTTGTGTTTAAATTAGTAGATGTTTATCTGTGTCACGGAGGAAACAGCTAAAACATGAGCTTATTATAGCTTCGAGTGATGTCTCACAAACGAATGTTAACGTGAGCCCACACCATCAAAGGGACGTTGCATCTGTAATTCTATGGAATGTCCCTTGAACTCCACTTTTGTAAAGAATATTCTGCATGCAGAACCGACTGGTGCTGTGTGATTTCGTGGCGGAATGTTTTTTGTTTGTTTTAATTACTCTCATTACATCGCTAAAATTACCCTAAGTGATTAAGTAACTAAAATGTGCATGCTTGAAGGATTTGACAAAGAGGCCTGGGCTACGCTATCACTGAGATTCCAATGGGAACTGCTTGAAGCCACGCTTGGTATAAATTAACTGTAAATGATAGAAATTAATTAATGAGGGCATCAAGGGAGCGACGTGTGGAACGGGGGAGCAGTGGAGGTGGCGCGATGGCGCTATTAACTATTAGGGGTGCCACGGTGGCGAGATGTTAACTCTCTCGCTTGGTATACAGGAGGTCGTGGGTTCGATCCCAACCCTAACGCCTGTAGATTTGGAGTCGGCATGTTCTCCCCATAGTTGCGTGGATTTTGCTCCGGTTTTCCCCTCCACATTTAGAAACATGCATTGAGAGTATTTGGCTGCTATAAATTTTCACATGGCAAGCTTTCTTTTGTGGCCAGGTTGCTTCTGTCGATTTATCTCTGTACTGAATTTGATGGTGGGGGATAGACATATACCCCTCATCTATAATCACAGGGGTCATCAGGAGGAGCCAATGTCAATTGATGCAAAGGTGGTAGAAGTCTTCATGTGGTATCGTGCAGGAGGGTGTGAAAAAGGTTGAGAGAATCGAGTTGTTTGTATGTTGTTGAACTGGACCAGAAAGCCACTTTGGAAGGGGAGTGAGGGCCAGGTGTTGTGCTGAACCAAACCTAAGTGATGAAGCCACAAAGAGACCCGGGATCTGTGAGCTTGTTCGGTGGCGGTGATCGCGGTGTGGGGCGGGGTTCCTCATCGTCTCCGTGCTCTGGGCTCCCCCGTGCAGGCTGAATACCCTGAGGCGGCTGGTGGCGGGGGACCCCGCAGTGCTGGGTCACGTGACCCACCTGGATGTGCGCGACTGCGAGCTGAGGGGCGAGCTGGACGCGACGTCGCTCGCCTGCCTGGAGACGCTGCGCTGCGACCGCAACGAGCTGACGGCGCTGCGGGCCGCAGGCCACGCGCTCAAGACGCTCGGCGCCGCGCACAACCGTGAGTCCCTCCGCCCCGCGGCATGCTCTGACAGCCGCCCTCAGCGGGCTAAGGGAGCTCCAGACATGTCGACACTCACCTGACTTAACACGTACGATTTTGGGGTTAGGCCGTGGAATCATCCAATCAAATCTGTGCAGTTTAGACCTAATGCGGGAAGGCAGAATATGTTATAACTTGCTGGATTGTCATTCTGACTTCCTGGATCGTGTCCTGTCGATGTTTTTTGACGACGTGTCAAACGAAACGTCGCGTCTATCTTTGCTGATCAACTTGGTTGTGAGAATTGTTCTTCGGCTCACCGGGGAGTGAGCCAAAACAATCATCTTTGGCGTGTTAAACGCTCGTACACCACTTGACAATGTTTTCGGCTATGTCAGGTGGTGGAGCTTCTCAACCACCTGGAATTGGTCAGATTATTTACATGGCCTAACCCAACATTCTGGTATGTAAAATACCAAGTTGATATGCCTGCGAAATGTGTCCACCTGGCTATTGTAGGGAAATTCTTATTCTTTCATAAAAATTACAAAACCCCGAAACTAAATCAATCTTACCACGGAGATGTAATGCCAATGCTCAGAAGTGTGTAACTTGGAGGCCAAATTGGCAATTACATTTTGAAAATGCTTTTATAAAAATTATTGTTATGCTGTCTACCGGCACGAGCAGTGCGCATGTTAGAACACGAGCGTGTGGGAACGAGTACACTCTGTGCGTCAGTCCGTGTGCGCTGTTCTCTATCGAGGCAAATCTCCTGACACATAGACCGGCACTGGCAGCTTGTTGGAGTTAGTTGGAGGGATTTCACGTCTTGTGGGGTCATGGTGCGTCACTTCTAAAATACCGTGGATAATCGCATTCGACCAATCGTTTCACATGTTGACATGTTTGGAGCAAATGTAATTTTCTTAATGCACCAATAACACAGTGGCCAATAGGTATGGGTTGTATATGCTACCATCAATAATTATCTAATGCATCAACTTTTATTTTCATTATTTTAACCTCTCTCCTTATCTGCTTCAGCAAGATATACATTTTATGTTCATGTTTATTTTGAGCCTGCCACTAAAGAAAACTGATTAAATTTTACTGTTTTTACAGTCATTTATGTATATATTTTAAAAATAATTTTAAAAGTAGAATTGAGATATTGAATATAGGATTGGAGAAACTTCTCAAGCAGGGTCTTTCCTGAAAGAGTCTCTGGACAACAGGGTGTTGGCGCAGTGGTAGCGCTGGCACCCCAGCCAGACGGGCCTGGGTTCGATTCCCAACGATGGGGCACCTCGTCTCCCCCGTTTCTGCGTGGGTTTCCTCCCAGTTTCCTGGTTCCTCCGATAGCTGAAAGAAATAATCCAATGTAATTTCCGTTGAGCGAACATCCAAATGCTGAAAAATGACATGCACGTTGCTAAATTGGAATTACACAGAGCTATATCACAACCTACTGCGGAAAAAAACACGGCAGGACCCTCGTGAAAAAGAGTCTTGAGACTAATCGAGGCTGGGAAAACAAGCTTAATAATAATAAGACTTGCGTCGAGTAGCTCTACTTTGGTCAGATATTGTAAGTATTGTGCTGGGACTGGAGCCAAAGACAAACGGGGGGTGGGGGGTGGTGTGAGGACTGGGATTTGAAGGTCTGATGGCAACATTAAGGGGCTCAGTTGGAGAGCCCCTTGCGTGCGAGTGAAGCATCGCGGTGGCCAGTGGAGGGGATATTGGAGAAGCGTGGGAGGACGTAGGGGTGCATGAGGGATATGTGGAGGGAGCAAGGACTGAGAAATACTGAATCCATCAGCACATGGCCTTCAGTGATTCTCTTCTATACACACTTTACAGGCCCACACTTTTCAGTTGTAGATACAGTAATAACTATTAAAATCTCGTTTTGTGTGTTCAGCTTCACTAATCAGCTTAAGCTGCTTAGTGAAAAATGGGCTGGTACCCTGCCAGAATGCACTGTAATGTGGATGTTCAGTGAACCCTAACGGTTTCTGCCACCGCTTGCCTTCAGAATATCCTGCATTCGCTCTGAGTGGAATGTCTATAATGCAGACATGGACCACAATACATTGCTGATCTCATCAAGGAGCATAAATCACCATGCAAACTCCAGTCATCCTCACAGCGGCTATTGGCTAGCCATCGAACAAAGACGATCACTGCATCGCGCGCTTTCAGAAATAAGTAAAAAATGCATACATACACAACAACAACCGCCATTCGCCACTAAGTGGCGGTGACGTCACCACGACGCTTGTGCCAGGCCATGTGCACCTTGAGGCTACGTGAAGTGTCGTACGCCCGCTGGCAGGAGGTCACGGGGCAGACCCAGGTGCCACGGGTCGACAGACCGAGATGACCGAGATGACTGGCTGATGCACCACCTGTGCCCCCTACTGTACCAACTTGCTGTGCTTTAGCCACCCGGCGAGCGTCGCTCCTCCGCTCTCCGTTGTTGTTGGAGGGCGACTGCCTCCAACTGCCCAGTAGCGTCCTTCACAAGCCTCCTCCACAGAGGCCGATCTTGACACCGCTGGTACCAGTCATCGGCAAGTCCACTCAGCTCTACGTCCTGTACCACATCACTTCATCTCTTCTCTAGCCCGTGCCCCGCCCGTTTAGCCCCCTCGATCCGGCCGAACAAAAGCTGTTTAGGCATGTGGTGGCTGGGCATGCGGGCTACATGACCCAGCCAACGCAGCCTTGCCTGCCGAAGGATCTCACCGATGGGACTTTGCCCAGATCTTTCAAGGATTTGTGAGCTCCTCACACAATCCAGCCTGGTTAAACCCAGGAAGGATCGTAGGCAGGCCAGCCTAAATGTTTCCAACCGGCGAAGATGCTCCATTAGGGGGGTCCACGTTTCGCAAGTGTAGAGAAGGGAGGGAATGACTGTGGCCGAGAAGACCTGAAGCTTCGTGCGGAGCGACAGACCAGGTAGCTTCCACACAGCGTTACGCAACCGATGAAAAGATATTGCCGCTCGACTGATTCGGAGTGAGACCTCTGCTGTTAAACTGGAGCCGGTCATAAGCACACTGCCCAGGTATGGGAAACTCTCCACTCTGTCCACTACTGCCCCATCACCGATTGGAAGTTGTGGGGGTGCCGTGTCCGATGGTACAAAATACCCAGGCAGGTGCTTAGTTTTGGTGGGGCTGATGGTAAGGCCCCACCTCTTAGTGGCACGCTCCAGTCTCAGCAGCAGCGTCTCCAACTCCTCTTCTGAATGAGCAGCTATTACCAAATACATACACACACACACATGGAACCACCTATGAAACAATTTGTAATCGCCACATTGCTGTAAGGGAACCCTTGCTACGACAGTAGAATGTCGTGGGCAGGATTAAAGTAGTGAACGTGTGTTCCTTTCCCTTCCAGTGCTCTCCACAGTCAGCATCCACCCTGCGCCAGTTCAGCTCGCGTACGCTGACATATCGAGGTATGCATCTGCACTCTCCTGCACGGACAGTGCGATGGTTCGGGAGACTTTTTGTATTAAGCTGAAATGTTGCACCTCCAGTCATTCCCTGTTGTTGCGTGAGCCTGCAGTGTGTGTGTGTGTGTATATTGATGCCTGTTTACAGGAATAAGTTGGAGAGCATTCCCGAATGGATTCCTGATGCAACCAGCCTGGAAATTCTCAATATCAGCCACAATGAAATCAGCGAATTACCAATCAGGTATAAATACATGCAGACTTTTTATTTTCAAATTGTGTTTGATCAGTGATCGCTTGAAAGTGGTAAAGAGCGACGTAAAACTCTAAGCGGTTCTCTAAGGGGCTATGAGTTTGGCGAGTGGCACACGTTTCGTCACGGTCGTGGGTTCGATCCTGACCCTGACACGTGTATATTTTGAGTATGCATGTTTTCCTCCCTGGTCGCGTGGTTTCTTGGGGGTCCTCCGGTTTTTAGAGTATTTTGCTGCTATACATTTCCACACGATAACCCACTTCGTTGAGCTATCATTTGTGGCCACGTCACTTCTACAAAAGAGCTATATAGCTCCTTGGGCCTTGTCTGGTAAAAGAAAAATTGTTTAGTTTAGTATCGTGTGGTCAGCATTGCCTCGATGCAAGTCATAAGGGACACAACCGAGGAACATGACTAATTGAAGTGCCGCCACGCTTGCTAGAGCCGCCGCTGTGCATTGCTCACCTGGATAGTGCCAGGGGATTTTCTCGCAATGCGTGGTAGAAGTAACACGTTATTCGCATTGCGAAGTCATGGGTGCTCTGCACCGCAGAACAACAAAACTCATCGTTTACCCCATTGGCGTTTCTTGCACCGTCGATCATCTTTGTAAATTGTTGAAAATCTACGCATATTGGGAAGGATTATAGATATCCAGACCCCCCCACAGAATAACAGGATTCGTTAATATGAGGATGATGGATGAGATGCCATTTGCTTTATATACAAATTGTGTTGCCATTTGTTTGCCCAACTCAAGTAGACGTCTTCGTGCGGAATTAAATAACTAATTTATTACGCACGTACGCCTGCCCGCCCAGATTGCTAACTGCCCTTTGCCCACGCCAGGCTGCTGTGTGCTGAGGGCTTGAAGAGGCTCCTTGCTGGCCACAACCAACTGCGCCGGCTGCCTGAGCGGCTGGAGAGAGTGCACATGGAGACCCTGGACGTGCAGCACAACCTGCTCACGGAGCTGCCCACGGCGCTCTTCCTCAAGGCGCCCAGGTGCGCCCTGCACGCACGCACGCATGCACACACGCATGTGCCTAGGGGCGTGCATGTCGCGAGCGTTTATATTTGTTATCATGATCCGGTGGTGGAAATGGGCCCGATTTATGATGTTATTCTTTGGTTCTTTCGGTAAAGTCACGTAGAAAGAAAATAAATTAAATAATAGAATACAACGTTTCGATTGCAACACAAGCAACCGTCATCAGGTATAACTAAATTTGAGAGAGAGACAAAACACAGACATGGAGACACAGACAGACACAAGCAGAGAGAGACAACACAGAGACAGAGAGAGACACACAATATAGACGCATAGAGACCCAATGCCTCTGTGTCGAGGTCTTAAATCACATCTCTCTGTGTGTCTCTGTTTGTCTAATTTCACACTTGACTTCTATTTTTAGCAATCTTTGGAGATCGTAATCAACCAGGCTATGCGTTAACTGTGTGTTAGCCGACTCTGTGTTGCATTGCATTTCCAAATTTTTTTGCTAAATTTAGTTTTCTCAAACTGCATATTTCTCTCTCTAAAATTTACCAGCCTCTCATAGGTCCATTCGCTCTTTCAAATCAAGTTTATGATGTTATGCCATACCGGAACTTCTCAGAACGGTTCCCTTTCCCACGTTGCCAGGTTTCCAGTGAGGAAACGGAAGTGAGATGGTATGTGATTGTGTATTTGTGCGAGTGATTGAGACAAAGGCAGCCCGGGCGTGGTGCTGCTCACCCACCCCCTCGTGTGCCGTGCCGTCCTTCATAGGTCTTTACTAACAGCACTTGCCTCAAAAGTCTGTTGAGGCTATACGCGGGATATTTGTCCACCCTATGGAGGCCAGTGAATGAAAAGGCTAAGCTCTTGAAGATGACGCAATGCACTATCCATGACCTTTACGTGAGGTCAAAAAGTGACCTTGGTGTCAGAGGATGCTGATGAATGGGCAGGGCCAGTGAATTAAAGGGCTGGGCTAGCGCAGTGGAGCGGCACAGGAGGAGGAGGATGCATATAGCCTTGGCAACGTCTCCATGGGACTGTTTCATCGCCGGCCCAGTTAGGGCTCATTTTGAATGCGAGAATTTAGAGATTTATGATGTTTAAGTTGACATAGGAATGACCTTGTGATCCATACATAAAAAGTCACTACATGCGAATCACAATTCGTGGTGCTTAAAATAAAAGCTTTGGCATCACATGTGCTTTTCACAAAATTATGCAACACCGGATGATGGCCAGCTGATTGCTGATGGTCAGTTTTCATATCGCGAGCACAGAAGGTTAAAATGATGTTCAACCTGCAGGCCCATAGCATTGTTCAGCCATAGGAACAAAATGCTCCTTTGTAATATTAACAAGGAGGGGGTGAGGTGACCGAGTGTCTGGTGAATGGTGACTGGTCCTGATGATTGGTGAGGCTGATGGCCGGTGAGTGTATTGTGATTTGGTGAGTGGTAAGGGTAAGCCTATTGTCAGATCTCACATCACCCTATTCGTAGGATGCACTGCCACCAGTATGCGTTAGAAGCAGACAACACTTTACAGCCATGCGGTGGTGAGATGTTAACCACCTCGCCTCGTATACCGGAGGTCGTGGGTTCGATCCTGACCCTGATGCCTGTATATTTTGAGTTTCCATGTCTCTCTCTCCCCATGGTCGCGTGGATTTTTTTTCTGAGTTCTCCGGCATCATGCGTATTTGGCTGCTATAAATTTCCATGCAATAAGCCACTTCATTGAGCTATCATTTGTGGCCCGGTCGCATCTGAAAAAGAGCTACATAGCTACAGAGCTCTGTGGGCCTTACCTGGTAATATAAAAAGTTTATAGTTTATTTCATCTTGAAAAATCTCGTGAAACCTTTTCATTCGATCACTCGGCGGCTCGCAGCCTCCGCTCTCTGAACGCGTCGGCCAACCGCCTGGAGTCGCTGCCGCCGTCAGTGCTCGGCGAGGGGGAGAGCGTGAGCACACTGCAGGAGCTCTACCTTGCCAACAACCAGCTGGTGGACAAGTGTGTTCCTCATCTGACCGGGCACCAGCACTTGCGTGTCCTACACCTGACCTACAACCTGCTCACCACATTCCCTGCCAGGTGAGCTCACGCGCTCGCCTTCGCTGCGCAGCCGGAAGGTCTTTGGCGGTGCGGGACGAACTCACGGGGTGGGCATGTCCAGTGCGGTTTGCCTCGTCTGCCCTCCTGAGAGCCCCCCCTCCCGCTCACTCTCCCCGTCTCCTCGTCACTGCCTGCCCCTCACGTTCTTCCCCCATTCGCACGTGGTAGCCTGCAGTGGCCTAAATATCGTTCATCACAATCCGATGACAGCTCCTCTCTTATCCAACGTCGCCCTTGTCCATTGCCCATCTTCCTGCCCACGCTCATGGGAATTGTCCTTCTTTGCTACAGAAACCAGTTCCACCATACTACTCTGCAGAGATGCCATTCATTACTGTGCATGATATGAACTCTTGATTAAGACGCAATAGAGCAGTGGTCCCCAACCTCTGGTCTGCAAAAGCCGTGGGAAAGTGGTCTGCAGAACTTATTTTTTTTCTCCCACAAACACCACTTAATTTTTCTGGCCACTGCAACTGATTGATATACGAATTAACACAGCTGCTGGCTATTGGCTCAATCTGCTGATTGCTGGCATCGGTTTGTAACGAGTAGTTTTAATTTGGAAACATCTGTTATTGGCGCACGCTGGATCAGCGATCGTTCGTCGAGAGATGACAGCGAGCGGCACGCGGCTCCATGAGGATTTGGGAAGCACTGCGGAGGGATGACGTTGCCTGCGTGCTTCTTTGGTAACCTGATAATTCCTTGCCCCTAAGGTGGTTGTTCTCTTTACACGATTGAATCATTCGCTTCGCGACAGTTGTGAGGGGCAGTGCTTGCAGTGTTGTGTGGAACCGGGCACTGAGGTGACATGACGAGAGAACGCCTCTTAAAAGCCTTACAGTGCTTTTTTTCCTTTTTCTTCCTGCACACACTGCACGGGTTGGAATCTTTTGTATTAGGGAGGTTGTTGATTTGATTCCTGTGTCTGTTCCATGATAAAGTCACGAAGAATTGTGCTTGTTTAAATGCATGTTAAACAAGCTGATGTCATTAATATGAGTAGGCCATTGTTTTCTTTTATTTCCACATTTATTTACAAATAAATTAATAGAATAGGAAGGTTGATTATAATCAGCCTTCCTATTTTGTTATTATACTAGCGGGAAGTACCCGGCGTTGCCCCAGCGAAAAAGACACACATCGACTTACACACACTCATACATAGACTCACACGCACATGGAACTACGCACACACATATGGACTAACACACAAACAAACAAAGATCCCCCATATAGCCTTAACAGACTGTAGGGGCAAGTTTTGTTAGCGAGCACCTATGAAGGCCAGAACGGTACACGAGGGGGTGGGTGGCCAGTGCCACGCCCAACCGCCTTTGTCTTCCTAGTGGCCATGTATACACACCGCACCAGGTACTCATTGGAGGCTGAGTCGACCTAGGGGGAGGCCCAGGGTCGGTTCAGATAATCGTCACTGGTGTTGGCCGTAAACAGGAAACGAACCCGGGTTGCCAGGTTCATAGTGCAGCGCGCTAACCGCTACACTATCGCTCCCCACTGACACACACACACGGACTTACACACACACATCGACTGACACACACACATAGACTTAAACACATACCGCACACACACGGACGTACACAAACAAACACAGCGACTGTCACACACACATTGACTCGCACACATTGACGCACACATGCACAGACTCGCACAGACACAACGCACACATATATGAACTCACACGCACACATGGACGTACATAGACTAAATAAGTTTGTTAATAATAGTTTTATATGTACGTGACTTTAGCGAAAGAAGCAAGGGAGAGGGGAAATGCAAGCGTGTATAATAAGTAATTAGGAGTGACCGCGAGGGTGTTCCGCCAGTTTGGTACAAACTCTTGCCGCAAGAGCGGCAAATATATGAAAATCAACTAATACAAAATGACCCTAACCTACCTGTAACTATGAGCAGATGCACACCAATTAAGCGTCATTGACATAACGTCACTGCTCAACCCCCGCACTTAGGGGGCAAGTGTAAATATGATAGAATGAAGACGTAATAGCAATGAGTATATTTATTGGTTTGTCCCTGCGCAGCAAGTGATATTACGTGGCTGGTTGTGATTCAAAAGTACAGAAAAAGACTATTCCCCTCAAACCTGTTTTTTGTGAGCAGGACAGTGATATTTAGAAATGTACCTATTTTCAAAGAGAAAACGTGTGCATAAGTGTGATGGCCTCACATAAAGACGTGGTCGCTAAAGCAAAGATAGTGGTAGCCGGGGAGAAAAAGCGTGTTACCTAGGGTAAAACATTGCATAATCCCTGTCATTAAATGAAAATTTTGAAAGGCAATTTGTAATGAGTAAACAGTCATGGTCATAAATGTTTGAGGGAGCTGTAAATCTGTGTGTGTTACCTTGTGCAGTGTCCACACGAAAGATAATTCCCCCCTCCACCCCACCGAACGCGTGTCAGTTGGTAGGGTCGAACACGCGCTAGCTAAAATAACAAAAAACATCACTAAATCGCTAATTAATCTACTTTAAAGGTGACGTACGTGAAATCGGAATAGCGCTGGCTCAGCACGGGGCTTATGGCGTGCTACCAGGCTACTTTTTAAAAACGTAAACCCCACGGTTTGCGAGCCAAATCCTTCGTAAGTTTCGGCCACACACAGACAGACAAAGAATGACTTTTATAGGTTAGAAAAAAGAAGACTAGCGGGAAGTACCCGATGTTGCCCGGGCGAAAAAAATATTTCAAAACTTATCTTAACCTTACATATACATACACAGATACTAAGGTATTGTGAAAGCCCGTTGGGCCGTATGTCCATTTCTCCACCAACAAAACTATAAGAGGCTTACACAAGTCCAAAAGTTATAGAAAGTGGGGGGTAAATAGTTGATATTGAAGGTTTCCGAAAATTGTAGACCCCCCCCCCCGCCTCAAAAAATATCTTTACCCCCGCGTAGGTATATATACCTATACGCCCTACATACAACATAGTAAGTAGTATCTATTGACTTTATAGTAGTATCTACTGACTCTAGTAGCTATTGACCGTAGCAGTATTTACTGACTGTAGTGGTAGATACTGACTGTTTTCGTATCTACTAACTCTATATAGCAGTATCTCCCAACTCAATAGCAGTATCTACTATCACTACAGCAGTGCATACCGACTGTGGTGGTACCTGCTATCACTACAGCAGTGCATACTGACTCTGGTGGTACCTGCTTTAACTACAGCAGTGCATACCGACTTTGGTGGTACCTGCTTTCACTACAGCAGTGCATACTGACTGTGGTGGTACTTGCTTTAACGGCAGCAGTGCATACTGATTGTGGTGGTATCCTGCAATGACTACAGCAGTGCATACTGACTGTGGTGGTATCCTGCTATGACTTCAGCAGTGCATACTGATTGTGGTGGTACCTGCTATGACTACAGCAGCGCATACCGACTTTGGTGGTACCTGCTTTAACTACAGCAGTGCATACTGACTGTGGTGGTATCCTGTTATGACTATAGCAGTGCATACTGATTGTGGTGGTACCTGCTTTCACTACAGCAGCGCATACTGACTGTGGTGGTGCTGGGCACTGGACGTTTTTAGGCCTTTAGGCTTGGTAGGCCCCTGCAGCTGTGTTAAGGACGCGACGAGGATAGCGGTGACGTTGAGCCTCCGTCGTCGTCATCGTTGCGCTGTGGTGCGTTATTGTTGCAGTAAACTGGCCAAGCTGACGGAGCTGGAGGAGCTGAACCTGAGCGGGAACCGCCTGCGCACAGTGCCCACCACCATCCTTGGCTGCAAGAGGCTGCACACGCTCTGTGCTCACTCTAACGCCATCAATGTCTTCCCGGAGGTCTTTCAGCTGCCCGAAATAAAGGTACCTGCTCTGCCAGCGCGGAGAAAAATAAGTACCGCCTTGTCACCGGTGGTTGTCCAACGGACATTTGCCCCTTCCCTCACCTCTCGGCCTCAGGAATGTGGAATTTCGAGCACTGGCTTCGGGTTGTAAACAGGAAAATATAGAAACGATTAAACAATTTTTATTCTACCAGGTAAGGCCCACTGAGCTATGCATTAATTCTCAGAGAAATGCTTCAATGCTCAGATGAGCAGTGAACCACAATCCTGTTAATGACAACCAGCATGTGCGCAGTCGACACACGACCTCCACAATCCACCCTGGCAGTCTGCCACCGCCTGCTCTCAGGCGTTGCTCTCACTCGCCAGACTCGAGGATACCGTTCCCGACCGATTTACATAGCGTCTCGTCGGTCCAGTTTCAGGCGGAGCGTGTGATGTGCCGCAACGCATGTTGTCCGCGTGAGAGCAGCTCGTGGGAAAGTGCTACAAACCCAGCAACCCGAGTTAATTTCTCGATTACGGCTAACGCCAGTGACGATTATCTGAATCGGTGTTGGGCCTCTCCTAGGTCGACTCAGCCTCAAATGAGTATTTGGTGCAGTGTGTAAACATCGCCCACCGAGGAGACAAAGGCGGCCAGGCATGGTGCTGGCCACCGTGCTCCCCCTTATGTGCCGTGCCGGCCTTCATAGGTACTCGCTAACCAGCACTTGCCCACCAACGGTCAGTTATTAAGACTACACGGGGGGGGGGGGGGGTTTGTGCGAGCGCAGCTCGTGGATCTCAGCTGCAATGAGCTGACAGAGGTGCCGCTGCCCGAGAGCCTGCCCCCCAAGCTGCAGGAGCTCGACCTCATGGGCAACCCTCGGCTGGCGCTCGACCTCGCCGCGCTCGACATGCTCAGGTGCGCTGCTTGGACCCCCACGGCGCCCCTACGATGGTCACGCTCGTTTACCCACGAGAGCCTCGCTGAGTCTCATCGCTCTCCTTTTTTAAATCCTTTATATTAAGTTCGCTTGCTTGCTTGCTTGCGTGCTTGCTTGCTTGCTTACGACCGTGCAAATCTTTCGGTCGTTTTTTAGCCCACTTCCCGTGATCCAATCGAGCTGACATTTTGCACACAGACTCGTTGTGCGAGACAATTAATGTTCGTGAAATTTTTTTTCCAAAATTTTACACTGTTTAGGGAAAACAAATTAAATATTTAATTACCAATTACTTAATACTGGCACACAATCATCTGACCCATAGGTGGCAGCCATCTCAAGCCAGAGGACGAGAGGACTCTAGCCGCCACGCATATAAAGGATTTATAGTGAAAAACTTTGTTTTTACGGGTTATACTTATTTGCTTTTAGGAGGTTCCTGCCAGGCTTTTTGCAGGAGGTGGCTACGCTGCTGCTGCTGTGTGTGTGATCCCGATTGAATAATTTGCATGTAATCTTTGAGCATTGGGATGTTTGGCCGATAGATTGAAAAAAATCTAGGTTAAAAAGAACTTCTTTTAGAACTGCTTTTGCGTTTAGTTTGGTTGTCTTTTCCCCGCACCTCCGATTAAAATGGTTGGCAACGTACAGTTCGAAATAAGTTCAACATGTGTACACACATACCGGTTACGTAGTGTGATTGTAGTTATGGGAGGAAATCGGAGAATCTGGAGGAAACCCACTCAGAACAGGGGGGAACTTACAAACTCTACACCACACCAGAAAGGCGCCCGAGTTAAGAATCGAAATGAGGTCCTTCTTGCTGTAAGGCATCAGTGTTAACAATAATACCCGCTTGAAAAACACTTTAATGGGTACACCAGGTAGATTAACATGCATTCGGACAGCATACTGCAATTGTAAGTCCATCATTGGTCGTTGACTTAAAATAGACTCTTGTCTTGCGCATTTCTCCGTCACAACATGTGACCTCTTGCTGGTAGACACATTAGCCGCTGACACTGCAGAAAATCCCTATCTTGCGGTACAGGTTTGAGACGGGCTTTACGAGTTAGCAGATTAGGAAGAAGAGCTCATTTTGTGCTGTAATCTCGTGAACATATATTGAATGTCATGGAAAAAAACACCTTGTGCTGCTTAGCCTAATGGGTGACTAATGCCCATTAAATAGCACTGAGGTTGCTCAACTGTTATAATTAATTCCAAGCTTTTAACATTGTCTGGAGAAATTGAATAAGATCATTGCGGATCCAAGGTCACGTTGCTCTGTTAGACCTTGATGTGAAAAAATATCAGCTACTCACAGGGTGAGTTTTATTCCTGAATCGTACATTGAAAATGTATGTTGCCATTTTGATATCAACCTAATTTAAATTACAAAAAATCCCAGGTTGTCGCCCATGATTCAGAACTGCGTTTGGTTAATGTTGCCTTAGCCTGTTTTGTATGATCACTTAACACTCAAACTGCTTGACAAGGCTAAATAAAAGCCTCTGTGTATCTTCTGCTAATTCAATTGAGCATTGATTCTTGCCTGGTAATTAAAAGTCCATTAATGCGTTGGACGCTGTAGGTATTGTACGTGTGCTCCGGATGCTTTGTGGATCGCTTGCGTGGCCGCGTCTCACTGGACGTGCAAGGCGGTGCCGTGGATGAATCCTTCCGTTGCTCATGCCGATGTTGCATTGTTTTTCCCTCAGCCACATCACCTGCCTGAAGATCGATCCCCGTCCGACCTTGCCGCCCGGAGATGCGGCAGAGTCACCAATTTGGAGCCACGGCTGCGCCGAGACTTTAGGGCAAAGGAAAAAGTGAGATGCTCATGGTCTTCATCGTAACATTAGCAGCCACAACCTCGCGGGGTTTGGCATTATCTCAATTGCCTCATTTTCTGACATTTTTTGTTTATGGAACAATCTCCATCACATTCACTGTGCTTGCACACAGGTGTATGCACAATGTGTCCACGTGTGTTGGTTATGCGTTGCCTTTGGCTTTGTGGGATTGGCATATTTTCCTGATTTTTCTGCAGCAAACTAAAGCCGGCCATGCACAACGCTATCATTCACTTCCCACAGCGGAGATAACCGATGCCAAGCTTATATCTGCTGAGTAGACGATGTTTTACAATCAAATGTCATTCACACACACGTAAACACTCACACATTTATACATCAACATGCACTAAGTGGCGGTGAAGTCACCGCAGAGCTTGTGACAAGCTAGGTGCACTTTGAAGCCACGTGAAGTGTCGGAAGCCTCACTTGTAGGTCATGGGACAGACCCAGGTGTTACGGGTTAACCGACTGAGATGACTGGCAGAACTGCCTCCTTTTGACACCGTTCAATTTAACATCGCTAAGCAATAACGATGAGATGCGACCTCTGCTCGAGCAGCGGTGATGTTCGCGAGCGAGCTGAGCTATCATCGCCGCCTTTGCATGTGGAACCCAGGCTGTGCGTGTCGTCGCTGGCGTCGGGCGCGTTCGGCGAGGACGCTCGAGAGGCCCTCTACGGGGTCTTCGACGGCGAGCGCAACGTGGAGGTGCCACGGCTGCTGCAGTGCACCATGGGGGATGTGCTGAGCGAGGAGATGCAGCGAGCTCCCGCGTCGTCCAGCGAGGACCACATGCTTTACACCTTCCTGGGGACTCACAAGTATGAGAGGGAGACACACACTCTCCACTGATTGGACACTCCATCGTGTGAGAGACACACACTGCACTGACTGGACACTCACAAGTGTGAGAGAGACGCACACTGCACCTGACTGGACACTCACAAGTATGAGACACACACACTGCACCTGACTGGACACTCACAAGTATGAGAGACACACACTGCACTGACTGGACACTCACACGTGTGAGAGGGAGAGACACTGCACCTCACTGGACACTCACACAGATGAGAGTTGTGGGGTTTTGAGATATTGCTCTGATATTGCTCGGCCATTGGACATTGAGCTGCATAGCCTCGCTTTTAGTGTATGTGTTTTTCTATTGAAGTGAAAATTGATGGCTTTGAATCGGAACAATGTCTTGAAATAATCGCTCTTGCTATCTTAACATGATGTAGCAACACGCGTGTTGCTTACCTGCTCGTTTTGCACAGGAGAAACACAACAGTGTGAGGATTCAATTTAGCACCGTATTCAATTGTTGGCAAGAACAACTTTTTGCAAATTTTTTTGCCATTCTCTTTTAATACTGCGGATGGTTCTTTTCCCCAGACGACACATCTGTTTTTATTTTGGGAAACAAAATGTTCAAAATTTTTCCCGTGAAAGAAAGTGTCTTTATAGGCTGTTTGCTGGTTGAATGGATTTAATCTGTTTTACTACACGCTTCTCATTTGAGCAGCCGTACAATTTGCTATTACTTCTTTGGGGGACGGTCATTGACAAAGCCAAGGCTGCTGATGAAAATATAATGGAGAGGGTAGAGTATAAATAAGTCACATAACTTCCCTTTTCTGGGGCAGAAGCAATTCGCTCTTTCCGTAGAACTTGTCTTTATTGTTTTCCCTTGAAATTTCACTTGTATTGGAGCTGTATATTAAATCACTTCATAAGAAGCAGAAGGAGCCCATGCGTGAGCTGCTTTGTACTGTCTGGTCTACCAGCTGTGCACGACTGCCATTTCCCTGCACTTTTTCCAGAACCGCGTTGTGTGGTCGCCTTCCTTAACTTTTCACCATTCGCCGCGCGAACGCGTTCCACGGCCGTGTCCCTCCAGGAAGCTCGGCACGGCGGGGCAGAAGCTGGGCGCCTCGGCGGTGCTGTGCCACCTCCGCAGGGATCTCCCTGAAGCCGGCAACGGAGGCGGCGGGCGTCTCACACTAACGGCCGGCAACGTTGGGAGCTGCCGCGTGCTGCTGTGCCGCGCCGGCTGCACCGTGTCCCTGACTCCCGACTTCACACTCACCGAGTGCCGGGAGGAACGCGAGAGGCTACGTGGCATCAACGCCATCATTACGGAGGTGCAGACTGGGGCAAAGCGTGCGGGGTGGGGTGGGAGGGTGGCGCGCCTTGGCGTTCCTCTCCCGGTCGGCTCTTGCTTCCATGCCGTCGACGTCAAACGGCGACGTGCGTGTTGACGGGACAGGGTTTTTTTTTTTTGCCGCAAATTGAGCACGATCTCGGCGAGCGTCGTAGTCTGGTCCCTTCAGTGCCACGGTAAATCAAGCACGCCGCCCTGCTTTCTTGCTTCCGCAACCATCACCGTTGCTCGCGCAACGTGGTGGCTCCAGCGGTGGAGCGAGCGGCTTGTGATCGGGGGGCTTGCGAGTTCAACTGGTCGGAGGCTGACTTGACTCATCGTTTGTCCGGCGTTAAAAAATAAAAATAGGTATCGCCTTGTGGTGAAGTTGACATTGGTTGTCCTATGGATAGACTCGGCCCCACCATAGCAATGCGGAGTTTCCCTCACCGGCTCAAGGATGTAAACGAGAGATGAACATGGTTGGCTACATATGGTGTAAAAGTAGTTCAGCATACATACATACATACAACGAGCAGCAACATCTACTTCTGGGTCATGCCACCATCCCAGGATTGCTGTAGTCGAAGCGATACAATCTCTGCACTGAAATGACCATTGTGTTAGTGGAGCCTTGCTGTTTGTATAACCATGGATACTGTGAACTGCATTGCAGTCATAGGCCTAGTAAGCACATGAACCTCCCTTTACAATCCATACATAGCAGGGGTAACCAAAACTATTTCCAAGATCATGAGCAAACGCAAGATCCAGGTACGATTCTACACAGTACAAACAATTCGTGATTTGATCCCATCTGTGAAGGATGTGATCCCTGACATGCAATACCCCGGTGTCTACAAACTAAGCTGTGTCTGCGGCAGCAGTTACATTGGGGAAACTAAGCGACATGTCTCGGACCGTGTTCGTGAACATAAGGCAGATCTGAAACACGATAGGACCAATACCTCGGCCGTGGCTGATCATTGTTTTAACGCTGTGGGCACACACGAAATTCATTTTGCCAAGACGAAGGTACTCTGCAAACCCACTGGCTATCAGCAAAGATTCGTTGATGAAGCCATCCAGATATATAAACACAGACACATTTTCAACCGAGAAGATGGGTACAAACTGAGCAATCATTGGAAGGATGTTATTAACCAGCTTAGGTCATAACTGGCTGTGTTGTTCCCTTCCTACCTGCCTATTTTGAGCAGTTATTTTCGACTCTCTGAGTTACATTCACGAACACAGCCACCCTTAGCTGTGTTAGTAAATGGCGGCTTGCCATCCTTTTCCTCTTTCTGAGTTCTCTCCGAGCTTACATTTACAAGCAAAATTCTTACATTGACATGCTAATCTCTTAATTCTAGATTTGAAGCTTTCGTGACTGCAATGATTCATATTCTTAGGTTTTTTCGGTAAAGTCACGTAGGTAAAAAATTTAAATTAATAAAAGTAAAATGAAACAAAATAAAAATAAAAATCACGACGTTTCGGAGGCAACACGAGCCCCCGTCTTCAGGTGGAACCACCACAGCCACGACAGCTGTATCAAGTAAATGAGAGATCACAAGCGACACCACCCCATATATATAATGGTTGAGGGGGGAAGGGCCAGGAACGGCACACCTCTTATTAATATGGTAAGGTGAGGCTCAAGACCAAGAATAGACTGCATAACAAAAGACCGAGCCTTTTCTCATGGAGAGGTGCGGCCTGCAACCAACGCCCAGCCCACATAACAAAAGTGTGAGAAAAGAGAAAGAAAAGCAAAACTAAAACTGGCAAAACAAAAACTGGCTGTCTATCAGTAACCTGCAATAGTTGTCAGTTCTGCCGTGTTTCAGATCTGACTTGTGCTCGCGGACACGATCAGAAACATGACGTTTCGTTTCTCCAATGTAGCAATCACCACAACTGCAACTCAGTTTGTAGACTCCAGGATACTGTAAGTCAGGAATGACATCCTTCACAGATGGAATCAGATCACGGATTTTATGCACTGTACTGAATCGGACTTGGATCTTATGTTTGTTTAGAATTTTGGAGATCTTTTTGGTCACGCCTGCTATGTATGGTAACGTGATAGTTTTGGTCGGAGTTTCATGTGGCTGTTTCTGTATGGTGGAAGAGACAGCTTGGCATATGGTGCGGTCAGAGTATCCGTTCATCCTGAGGGCCCGATGTACGTGTCTTAATTCACCAGCCAGGTGGTGTTGGTCAGAAATGCCATGGGCTCTGTGGTATAGCGTTTTGATGAGATAATTCTTTTGAGATGGGTGGTGGTGGGAATCCGGTTTCAAGTAGGAATCTGTGTGGTTGGCTTTCCTGTACACAGAATGTCCCAAGGATCCGTCAGGTCTCCTCTCAAACAGAATATCCAAGAATGGTAGTTTACCATCTTTCTCCACTTCCATGGTGAATCTGATGGATGAGTGTCTGGAATTGATGTGGTCCAAAAAGTGGTTCAATGCTGGGAGGCCATGTGGCCAGATGACGAAAGTGTCATCCACATACCTCTTCCACAGGGAAGGACGCAGGGTGGATGTCTGGATGGCGTCTGATTCAAACTTTTCCATGAACATGTTGGCTATCACTGGTGACAAGGGGGAGCCCATAGGGGTACCCTCATTCTGTTTGTAGAAGGTGCCATTCCAGGTAAAATAGGTGTTGGTGAGGCAATGCCTAACCAGCGCAGGTACATCAGAATTCAATCCATGTTGGACTAAGTCCTCAATTATTGTTAGGGTGTCCGGTACTGGGACTTTGGTAAACAGAGATACTACATCAAAACTGACGAGGATGTCATCAGGAGATAGTACCATGTCCTTAACCATAGAGACTAATTGGGTTGAGTTGAGTACTGCCGAAGAGGTCTTGCCTGTGAAGGGAAGCAGAGTATCTGATAGAAACCGGGCTAGTTTGTAGGTAGGAGAGTTTATCGTCGACACGATGGGTCGTAGCGGGGTGCCTTCTTTATGGAACTTGGGAAGACCATAGAGTCTGGGAGGTCTTGCCGCCGATGGTTTTAGAGAGGGATGATTACTTGGTTCGATTAGGGAAGTCGAACTCGTGATGATGCTGTTGGTTTTTGTCGTTAGGCTTTTAGTGGGATCGTTTTTAATTTTGGAGTAACTCCCATCATTAAGTAGGTCCAGGATTTTGTTGTTGTATGAATCTTTGTCTTACAAACACATTTAATGTTAACACAAAAAATGTCACCTTCCGATTGGAACCACGTTGATAACATGACTTCTGCTTCTACTGACTTAATGTCAGCCAAATGCAAAGCTAACCTGATTTCTAAATTCAACCTCCTATCTAAGAAGAAACCAGAGCCACACATCACAAAGCTGGATGTTAACAAGACCGTGATTAATCAGAGTAACATCCCAATTTCTGACAATCTAAAAACGGTACTGGCCAAAGGACTAAATTTCGCCGTCACCCCTAAATATATACCAGTAGAGGATGTGATTTCTCAGATTGATGTAGCCCTCAGAGGCATAGGACACATCCATGCGGATGTAGCAAGAGCTGAAATTGCTACTATTCTTAAGAATGCTAAGAAACCCACTAGTAACATCAGCAAAAACGAACGCTCTGAACTCGCGGACCAATTAGTCTCTATGGTTAAGGACATGGTACTATCTCCTGATGACATCCTCGTCAGTTTTGATGTAGTATCTCTGTTTACCAAAGTCCCAGTACCGGACACCCTAACAATAATTGAGGACTTAGTCCAACATGGATTGAATTCTGATGTACCTGCGCTGGTTAGGCATTGCCTCACCAACACCTATTTTACCTGGAATGGCACCTTCTACAAACAGAATGAGGGTACCCCTATGGGCTCTCCCTTGTCACCAGTGATAGCCAACATGTTCATGGAAAAGTTTGAATCAGACGCCATCCAGACATCCACCCTGCGTCCTTCCCTGTGGAAGAGGTATGTGGATGATACTTTCGTCATCTGGCCACATGGCCTCCCAGCATTGAACCACTTCTCGGACCACATCAATTCCAGACACTCATCCATCAGATTCACCATGGAAGTGGAGAAAGATGGTAAACTACCATTCTTGGATATTCTGTTTGAGAGGAGACCTGACGGATCCTTGGGACATTCTGTGTACAGGAAAGCCAACCACACAGATTCCTACTTGAAACCGGATTCCCACCACCACCCATCTCAAAAGAATTATCTCATCAAAACGCTATACCACAGAGCCCATGGCATTTCTGATCAACACCACCTGGCTGATGAATTAAGACACGTACATCGGGCCCTCAGGATGAACAGATACTCTGACCGCACCATACGCCAAGCTGTCTCTTCCACCATACAGAAACAGCCACATGAAACTCCGACCAAAACTATCACGTTACCATACATAGCAGGCGTGACCAAAAAGATCTCCAAAATTCTAAACAAACATAAGATCCAAGTCCGATTCAGTACAGTGCATAAAATCCGTGATCTGATTCCATCTGTGAAGGATGTCATTCCTGACTTACAGTATCCTGGAGTCTACAAACTGAGTTGCAGTTGTGGTGATTGCTACATTGGAGAAACGAAACGTCATGTTTCTGATCGTGTCCGCGAGCACAAGTCAGATCTGAAACACGGCAGAACTGATTCTTCGGCCGTTGGCGATCATTGCTACAACTCTGTGGGCTCTCATGAAATTGTCTTTTCCGAGACCAAGGTGCTCTGCAAACCTCCTGGCTACCATCAAAGGTTTGTACACGAAGCCATACAAATATACAAACACAGACATAATTTCAACCGTGATGAGGGTTACAAACTGAGTAATCATTGGAAAGATGTGATTAACCATGCAAAAAGGATTTAACTACACTTATTTGGACCATCTTATTTGACAGACAACTATTGCAGGTTACTGATAGACAGCCAGTTTGTTTTGCCAGTTTTAGTTTTGCTTTTCTTTCTCTTTTTTTCACACTTTTATGTGGGCTGGGCGTTGGTTGCAGGCCGCACCTCTCCATGACAAAGGCTCGGTCTTTTGTTATGCAGTCTATTCTTGGTCTTGAGCCTCACCTTACCATATTAATAAGAGGTGTGCCGTTCCTGGCCCTTCCCCCCTCAACCATTATATATACGGGGTGGTGTCTCTTGTGATCTCTCATTTACTTGGTACAGCTGTCGTGGCTGTGGCGGTTCCACCTGAAGACGGGGGCTCGTGTTGCCTCTGAAACGTCGTGATTTTTATTTTGTTTTATTTTACTTTTATTAATTTTAATTTTTTACCTACGTAACTTTACCGAAAAAACCTAAGAATATGCTAATCTCTCACAATACAATGGCCACCCCCCCAGCTTCGTTGGTCAAGATTGACCCGATCTTACATATACATGCAAATTTCAAATTTCTTACATTGACCTGCTAATCTCACAATACATTGGCCACCCCCACAGCTTTGTTCGTCAAGATTTACCCGATTTACATTTACATCTCTAGCCCCGCCCACTGACCCTTGGGCTACACCAGGGGTCGGCAACCTACGGCTCCGGAGCCGCATGCGGCTCTTTACGGGCTGCTTCTTGACGATATGTACGTATGTACATAGATGCATTGCGGCTCTTGAAATACTGAATTTTGTACCGAATTGGAAAGAAATGGCTCTTCTTGTTATTTTGGTTGCCGACCCCTGGGCTACACCCATCTCAAATCTTTATAACTCCCTGCCTTAGCAGCGCTCCCGACAATATATTATTTCCTGCCTCAGTAGCTCTCCCACTATATTTTTCACCTGATGACAATTGCTTGTGTTGCGATCGAAATGTCGTGATATTGTTATCATTATTATAAATTGTATTATTTTTCTATCTACGTGGCTTTACCGAAAGACCCAAAGAATGTGAATTCCTGCAGTCACGAAAGCTTTAAGTCAAGATTTAATACAAGCCACTCTTTAAAACAGCTCTCCAAGTATTGTTTATCTCGTGGGGGATTATACAAGCTCCTGTAAATGATATATGAATGATATGGAATAATCAAACTAAGACCCATATCTAACAGAGAGCCGTTGCCTATAAACATTTGGTAGTTCACCAGCACTGAATTGCTTGTGTTGAACCGATGTTGCTGAAATGATGCACTCCCAGAAGGCCGTGCATCTGACAGAATGTGTAAACTAGGCTGTTTTTTTACTGAGGCAATGCACGGGCACGTTACATTGCGCTGTTACGCATGTAGATACTGTAAACATAAACTAAAGCGGTTGTAAAAAGCAGGGGATAGAAAGATGGGAAACGAACCCACTGCCCCATAATAGGCTATTTTGTTAACTTGGGGGAACCACACGGGCATTGCCATCCGACCACCTGTTTGCCCGCTTGTGCCGCACGTTGAACGCCGCCCCTGTTTCGCTGCTCGGATCCGTTCGCGCGGCAGGACAACAAGGTGGGTGGGGTGACGAGCGTGACGCGGCTGCTGGGCTGCTCCTTCCTCTACCCGTCGGTGCTGCCCCGGCCGCACACGCGCGCCCTGCGCCTCACGCCCGACGACGAGCTCCTGCTGCTGTGCAGCCGCTCCCTCGCCGCCTTTCTCCCGCCCATCGAGGCTGTGGAGGCGATCCGGGACGTCGCCGACCCGCTGGCTGCCGCCAAGAAGCTCACTACGCTCGCCCAGGGCTATGGCTGCCACGACAACCTGGGAGTGGTGGTGGTGAGGCTCAGCGTCGCCTTGGAGGATGCAGGCTGCTGCACCTGTGATGCTGTCTCTGCTGAAACGGCCGTGAACAATGGGTAAGATGTCCTACCGCTGCTGCTGCTGGTCTGTGGTGGAGAGGAGAGTGGCCTAGCATCGTTTACCTACATTTAGAGCTGTATTCTGAGTCTCGACTCAGCTCGCCTTGTGACACGTTTCCTCTTGGGCGTGAGCCGCTCCGTTGCTTCCAAAGAAGCATGAGCAGCTCAGCCAAAGGCTTGGCACAGACTGATTTCCTGAGCGTGGCCGGGACCATGCTCAGAGCCGGCTCAAGTGAAGCGCATGGCTCTGAGTTGGCTCACTTTAGCCAGATCCAAACGCGAGCCAAGTGGTAACTAAGAATATGGGTCTTATTCAGCATAACATCGATTTTATTTATGATTTTACATGAGTCTAGCAAATGTTTAATGGTGATGCTGTGAAAGCCCCGATGAGGAAAGTGAGTAAAAGGCCTCCCTGTGTGCAATGCTGACTTCCGGAGCATGGCTATACTTACATGCCAAATGATGATTGTTTAGGAGTGGAGTTGATGCATTGACTTGTTTGGATGAGTTATTATTCACTTTTTCTTTTTGGGGAAAACATCCTGAAGCAGCGGAGGGAGCAGCAGTGGAGCGTTCTCGGAGCTGAGCAGCGAGGTGAGCAGCGAAGTCGCGGGGTCAGAGGTCAGCAGCGAGGTTGGCTCCACCGCTTCTGACGAGCAGCCGCCGTCTCTGGGCCTTGTGGAGGTAAGTGCTGCCTCCGAGCTTTGCCGTGCTACAGTGGCGAGATGTTAATTCCCTCGCCTGGTATGCAGGAGGTCATGGGCTCGATTCCGATCCTGACGCCTGCTGTATATTTGGAGTTTGCGATGTTCTCCCCGTGGTCATGTGGATTTTTCTCCGGGTCCTCTATTTTTTCCCTCCACAGTTCGAAATTAAATTCCATATGATAAGCCACTTCGTTGAGCTGTAATTCGTGGCCGGGTTGCTTCTGAAAAAAGAGCACTATAGGTCAATGTGCCTTACCTGCTAAAATGTAAATAGTTTATTTTAGAGTGCTGGTAATGCAGAACGTCCGCTGGAGTTCCTCTACTCTCACTCATTGCGAGTTCCAATCTAGTACTCACCGGTTTTTGGACTCGTCTAGAAAGTCAGAAAATCAGGCCTAGATATGATATTTTGGACGATCAGAAGACACGTTCTGTTTCAGATTGATACAAAAATGTCACGTGAAGTCACGAATGTGACATCGCTTTTGCTGCCGAAAGTGGTGTCATATGGCAACGTGCCCTGCAACTGTTGTTCGCGTGAAGACATTGGTACAAAATGTACGTGACCCGAACATCTGAAAACAATCCAAAATTGTTCATACATTTTCAAACATACAAAATTAAAAATGATTTATCTAACATTTATTAGAAATAGTTACACGTTTAAATGTTATAAAATCACAACTTTAAAACCAATCATACATTTACATAAAACACCGCTTCATAACATTGTTCAAATATTACTTGCCTTTAAACATTCCATTTTGTTGAAAACAACAGAACCACTTTGCATATTTATCCACGTGACAAATTGATTTGCTTGGCTTTGTCGGGTAGTGGAGGCTTGTTGTGGCTCTACTTGACATTATCATGACACGATTTATCCCAAAAGAAACGAATTATGAGTCTGCATTCTCAAGTTTAGTTAAATAGTTAAATAGGAATGGAACGGGCAGGAAAGGGGATTAATACCTTTAGATGCTCATTCAATTCGATTGAACCCATGGGAACAGTAGAAGGTAATGATGATTAACACTGGTTTATCGTAGAAAAATAACAGGCTAGCGCTTTGGCAGGGGGGTGGCATTTCTTCCGTGTGGGGAGCTGGGGGGTGTAGCGAGGTGGATGGACTCACAGGTGGGAGATTTTGGGGGACATTTTATGATGTAAAAAAATATGTATTTATATTGGAGGAATCTGATTAACTATAAAGCTCTTTTTCACATATATCCAGTCGGGGCATGTCAGAACATTACAACAATAAACAATACAAAAGCACAAAAGGAGTGCAAAGTATAGGAAAGGTAAACAAGTTACTTTATAATATATATATGAATAAAACCAAACTGTATTTTTTAATCTTACCAGGTAAAGCCCAGTGAGCTAATTTTTCTGGAGCGACCTGGCCACAAATGATAGCTCAACGATTAAAATATATTTTCATTAACTTAAATACTAATGGGAAGCTGTTCATACGTCCATTCAAAAAAATAAATGTGTGAATTGTTCTCGGCATGTTTGAGTGTAATTGTGCGTTTTGCTAATTTCATTTATATTCTATTACAGAGTAGTCTTAGTAACCACCAATGTTTTAGATAAGATATTTTGAATAAACCCCCTTGCAAGACTTGTAGTGAGTGGCCGGCCTTTCCCACATGGAGCGTGATCGCCGGTATGATTTGGGTCACGTGAGCTCTGCCGTGCGTGTGGGGGGATTATCAGTATACAGTGTGTAATGCCCTGCTGCTAGGGAAGCCAGTGGATGATGCCGTGGTTCTCCATGGCGGCCTGGTCTTAACTAGCCCACAACATTATAATATCTTAACTCATAATGCACTGCCACACAGTATTCACTCGCTGTCGAAGAGAGAGAACGACTCCTTGAGCCGGTGCCAACAATCGCCCAAGCTCTGTGGTCCTCGATGTTAAATAGTTATCGGCCAATCCGTGAGTGTTTACGTGTGGGAGGCGAGGAGGGTTGGTTAATGGCACGTATGTTGTGAAGCTCCCTCCCCATGGGCATGGAGGAGCCATAACCTGGCTCTGGCATGAGTAGGCATTAAAGCACAAATGTGGACTCCACCGGTTCCGTCCCTATGGAATAGAATGTTTCTCCGTCGCACGTGTGGATTTTCTCAGGGTGCTCCAGTTTCCTCCCACGTGTAAAGACTCACTGAATTGCTGATAACATCTTACTATATAGAGGACTACAGACCTTGGGAAATTCTTTGTGCCGGCTCATGGCATGCCTGCTCTCCTGCTCGTCTGTGGTTCCTCATGAGTCGTCCTCTCTCTGCGAGCGAATACTGTGTGGCATGTTACGAGTTGAAATCATTATAGCATAACTATATAAGATCCAATTACGCTTTTGGAAGTTTTACAACAAGTTGAGACGATCGAAACACACGGATTATTTTTGTTTTAAGGACTAGGATATTTAATGCAGAACACAGCAGGAATGAAATTATTTGATTAATTTGAGATTTGTGCCGGCACATTGAATTACGCGAACGCAGATTTACCACTGGTGCTGTAGAAAAGATGAATCACCTCGAGAGTTCACTGATCTATCATTTAAACAAATATTTCTTGTGGCCAAAAAAATATATAAATTCAGATTCTGAAATGAAGGGCTCACAGCTAATTGCGGTGTGTTAGATGGAGGTCAAAGTGTGTGTCCTCTTGTGTGTGCGTGTGTGGTTGAGATTGGAAATCTCATTACAAGCCCTGCGTGTGTGTGTAACACGTGTGACGAGTTGTGTGTGTTCGTTTTTTGTTTGTGGGGGAGCAGTGGCGCAGTGGCTATCGCACTGCTCTGCGAGCTCGGCAACCCTAGTCAATTCCCTGCTCACAGCCAACATCGGTGGCGAATATCTAAAGCGGTTCTGGGCCTCCCCTAAGCTTTAACTAAGTACCTTGTGCGGTATGTAAACAGCATTGGGGAGACAAAGATGGCCAGGTATGGTGTTGGCCACCCACTCCCTCTTGTGTTGTGCCAGCCTTCAAAGGTGCTCACTAACAGCACTTGCCCCAACAGTTAAAGGCTGCGTGGGGGATCTTTGTGTTTGTGTAACGTGTGTTGCTTAGTTTAACACCCAGAAAACCTGTATTATGGGTGTATTGCATAACGTGTGTATGTGTTGTGTGTGCATTCCGCAGGTGGGAGGCTCGGTGCCATCTCTGCAGCTCTCCGAGCGCCGATGCAGCCTCCACCCGAGCGCCTCTGCGCGCACCTTCCAGCGGCAGATGTCGGCCGCCACCTTCTCCAGCGCGTACTCCGATCCGGGCCTGGACAGCAGTGACGACGAGGACACGGGGTGCGGCAGCGGTGGCGGCAGTGGAGTCGGCGCCACCAACGGTCACGGCGCCAACGGCGCCAACGGCGGTGGGGGTAGCGACGCCAACCCTCTGTACTGTCTGCAGATGGGCGGCGGGGGACAGCGGCTGGAGGTGGAGGCCGACGTGCACCCGCTGTGCGCCTTAGCCGGGCCCTCGTCGCGATCGCTCAAAACCCTCTCGGTGACGTCCTCCGAGACGAGCGACGAGGGGATCGTCATCTCGCTCCGCGCTGACACCTCCGTGGCGTGCTCCGAGAAGCCGCCCGGCGCCCACGAGCCCAGGTCGAGCAGTGCGGCGGCGGCGGCCTCCGAGAAGCGCGACGGCGAGGCGGGCGAATCGGAGGGGTGCGATCGGTCGCGAGAGAGCAAGCTGGAGCCCTCCTGGTGCGACAGAGGTAGCGGCGGCAGGAAGGTCATGAACGGGAGCAATGCGCGCTGGCTGGCGGTCGCCGAAGGCCACAGCGAGGCAAACGGCGGCAGCGGCGGCAGCAGGAGCGGCGACGCCACCCTGGGAATGGGGCGGTGCAGCAAGAAGATCTTGAGGAGGATCCAGAGTCACTCCGACCTTCTCAGCGGCCGCGACGTCCCCCTCGTGGCCGGGCTGGGCCGCGGTGGCCTGGCCGCGTCCTCCTCCTCCGCGGGCGCCGCCGGCGCCGCGGCCACGCGCTCGGGATGCATCTCGGCACCGCACTGCAATGGCGGCGCGAGCACCCTGGGGCGCGGGCGCCGCAACGGCTCCGTGGTGACGCCCGATTGCGGCCAGGGCCTCATGGAGGTGATCGTAGCAAGCGACGCAGCCCCTGCACGCCCCAAGCGCTCCGCCTACTTCGTGTCGGAGCCGGCACCCGGGCCGGACCCGGACGATGAGCTCATCGTCCCGCCGGAGCTGGAGGAGGAAGTAAGGGAACAGATCCGGCAATACCAGCAGCAGCAGAAGCTGCAAGATCAGCAGAAAGTTACCGAGCAACAGAAAGTTGAGCAGCAGCAGCAGATGAAGCAGCCGCTGAAGCTACAGCAAGAGAGGCGAGAGGCGTTAATTCAACAAGATGTTTATGACACTGCACTCTAACAAAACTGTTCCCTAAGTTTTATTTTAAAAGTCAGAGTACCTGGAGCTTGTACATTGTAGATGCACCAACGCTGGAATCAGTACTGTTTTGTTGAATGTTTATGATGACCTATGGTTGGGTCCAGTTGGAGCTCATGAAGATGGAACCCTGTTAGGTATTTACGGAACATCTGGTGAAAGCAGTAGCAGATATATGGAGCAATAGTTGCAATAACAAAAGTAAGTTGGATCTCTCCATCGAATGTGGAAAAATTGCACTGAAAGTAAAATCTCACCAACTTTATTTAACATTTACAGGACTTGCATGTGAAAGGTTCCAGTCATAATCGACGACATACCTTAGTGCCGACTCGCGTGCGTGGCTCCCGTCTGTGATATGAGCATCGAATTACTGTATAAGAGATGTGAACACGTGACGCCCACGTGACCGGAGACCGTTGGACTTTATGCGCAGCTCAGTTCCAATGGCCTGTAACCCCCCCCCCGCCTCCTCTCCCCCGTCCCGTGCTTAAGTCGCAAGTGTTCACAGCAGCCATTCAAGTAGAATTAAGCAATGTTGAATGCTCGAGAGTTTTAACATGTATTTACTCCACTCCATTGGCAGCTTGTGGCATCCGAGACATTGCACTTTACAATTCATCCACGGCCAACTCAACCAAAGGGCTACGGAAAGGGGAGGGAGACCTTTGTTCTGCGTCCTTTTCACGTCATTACTGTACAGTATAAGTTGGGAAAACAGCACAGTCCAAATGACATCACCACGTGACTGAAATGAAGGGACAATGATAGACTGTTCACTCATAAGGCTTTAAATATCGCTGTTTCTCCTGCATTTAATATGGCTACACCCAGTGTGTGTGTGCGTGAAGAGGTATGACTGCCGCTTTGACTCTGTTGGATTCTCTTATGCCAGTGTGGCAATGCTCTTCGGTGAAGCTGCAGGTGTAGATGCTGCTGCCGCTGCTGCTGGTTGAAAAATACCCCAAACACTATGCATTTAGCATCACTTGAGCATCCAGTCAGAGGAGATCCCTCGCCCGTCTCTCCTGATGCTCAAGGTCACCACTGCCTTGAGTGCTCAGATATTTGTCGTTTCAATTTGGAGTTTGGTTGATTATCTGTGACACATGCACCAATGGTATCGATGTGTATTTTTTTAATACTATACTTTTTCAAGATGCCGTAGATTATTTTCGACAAAATGGCAAGTAGTTTGTGAGTAAAGCCTTGTAGAGAAGTCATGATTATAGTTTATAACTAACAATACTGTGTATTTTCATACTGCCCCTTGTCTTTGGAAGTGTGTTTTTTTTAACGCTTTTATTCTCGACTCGCGCGCTGGCAGACGTGTGTGGCCCCCCTCTGAGCTGCTGCTGCTGACACTCGTGGGCTCACACCGTCATCCGGCAGCGGATGCCCAGTGACATACCTTTATACGTTAGCACAAACTGATAGTTGTGATCATCCTACACAAACCGTTGTGTCGTTTTTTGCAGGTCATGTTTGGGCGCAGTGGGTAACGCTTGCACCTCACGGCAAGAAGGTCCTGGGTTTGATTCCCGACTGGCGCCTTTCTGTGTGGAGATTGTATGTTCTCCCCCTGTTCAGCATGGGTTTCCTCCGGGTTTTCCAGTTTCCTCCCATTAGCTAAAATCAATCGATGTAACCGGTGTTAACCAAAACATCCCAATGTTGAAAGAATAGCCTGCAAATGACTCATTTGGGATTACACACAGCAGCATTGCCCCCTTCTGCGAAAACTTGACAGCACCCTTCTGAATGAGAATCTTGAGGCTCGGTGAGGATTTCCTGGATAAATAATAATAATAATGACCTTACGAGGATTTACAATAATCATAATCCCATTGGGGAAGAAGTAGAAATAATTATTACCAGCCTTGTAACCTTAGCCCAAGCTAATACACTTGAGGGCTAGATTGAGAGCTGGATTAAGGTGTTTGGTCCCATATTTGGCTGTATACTTTGGCATGGTTTTGCCAAAACTACAATGATTATGAGCATTCGCCATCATATCAATCCGGCTGCACACGTTTTATGTTCAATTAACTTTTTTTAACTAACTTGGACGCTGGCTTGGACTGCTCTTATATTATGGTCTATTTGACTGCAACTGATGTCTTGCTTATGCCAAATCAGCCTTCTGTGCAGCACTAAAGCATGCAGGCCATTTTACAGAAAGAGCGTTGTTATGGATACCTCCACCTAACTTACTAACGTATAAAATAGTTTCAGCAAAAAGCTGTGCATATAATCAATGTTGTAGCCTACGGAAAGTCGGTGAGTAGAAGAACACTTAGGTGTCTTCTCATTCTATTTGGGTGATGTGATATTTTAACAAGAGATTAATCCAAGTACTTTTGAATTCATCACAGACACTCATGATCTTGCATCCCTCAGCTGTGACATCTTGTCAACTCTGTACGCTGATTATCTGCAGGAATTCCTTTCTGGTATAAAGCCGGGTTCTTCAACCATATCTCAGCTGTGCTGGTGGGTCACATGCCATCATATAACATCTGAATGTGTGATCACGACTGTTTTGTATCCAGGTCTCACATTTCTCTCATTTATCTAATTTTCATCCTCACTAATCATTATCTCTTCTCTAAAGCTCTCTCACCACCATCTCTTATTTCTCTCATCTTTCACGTGAACTTGTATCTCTCCATGGCTCAGCAGCCACTCCACAAGGGCCTTTGCGAGCCACTTGACACGCAGGCCGCGAGTTGAGCGCCGCTGTGTAAAGGATAGAAGAGTTATACCGTATTGAAAAATAACAGATACAGTCTTCTCTCGTTATTCGCGAGGGGTACGTTCCGGGGATGCTCGTGAATAGCACATTTCGCGGATAACGATATTGGATTCGAAAACCTACATTTTGAATTAATTACCTTAAATACATAAATAAGCAATTAAGCACATGAACATTTTCTCATCACTTTCTCGCATCACATTCTCTCATCACATTATCTCTCTCTTTCTCGATGGAGTCGTGCAGAGTTCCAGATGTGATTCGCGGATGGCCAAAATGACGGACAGCAAGTTCGTGAATAACGAGGCGAATACCGTTTCCCACATTCGTGTGGTGGGCTGCCAATACTGCAGGGCATGGTCCAACGAAGTTGAGAACTTACGAAATAATAACTGCTTTGATGTTGTATGGAATTGAACGTGAAAGTGCTCGGTGTAGCCGAAAGCAACCACCTATTGTGTTACCCGTCTGGCAAACAAAGCCTGCAAATCAAACACAAAGGGATTATGAAAAAAACACTTCCAGAATGCAAAACGCAGCAACAGAATTATTGGTCTTCTCCTACAAAAGTTGACGAGTGTCAACTGGTGTTCCTCGGTGTTAATCATCAACATCATGAATACTGTAATGAGCTGCACACATTTGAATGATTGCTATATATTTGTGTGTGTATACTGCATTGTAGACTTTAAGACGAAACCCAGATCTAGTTTTTGGAGACACTACTTTTATGATTCTGCATTAAAAGAGAATGCAGCTATATCACTGAATTGAAACTGGTGGAAGTCGCTGGTTGTTCACCCTCGGACATCCTGCATGCAAGGTGTCCCCTAGATGCACACAGATGGGGAGAGGCTGAAGCGTCGTGCCCTCAACAGCGAGACATTAGTTAACAGGGGTGTTCGTGCCGAGAAGCACGACTCGCGCTTTTATTAGGCAATGCCGCGGCGCTTTTTGATTGCCTTCAACAGAGCCGGGTAGCGGCTGTGCCTCATCACCCAGCTCGCGAGTAGTCCCCGGGGGACCGGCACCAGCAGGGCGCGGGCTTCTATCGATTGGCTGTCAAGAGTGACTGCTTTTCATACATACAGCACATGGTTGTGCAGTTGGGGTTTTTTTCCTGATTGTGAGGGCACCGTAAATTGGGAGCGTGGGGCCGTGCACGGCACCTCGCGGCACCTCGCCTGGAGTGATGTACGGGTGCTCCTGCTCTGCGTTAATGAATGCGCTCCTTGGTGGTCGTTTGAACACGTCCGCGGTGTTTCGGAGCTTCCGCCTCTTGCTGCTTTCGGACTACCTTTACATTCCCGGTGATGTCTTTACGATTCAACGGATTAACACTGAACACCCGCGGCTCGGAGAGCCCAAAGGTTCCCATCGCTTCTGAATGACCTTACCTCGTGCAATTGAAATTGACAAAATGTGAGCCCCCCCCCCCCCCCGAATTGTCACTCGTGCTGTCCCCTACTTGAGTCACACTTGAAATAACTTTTTTCTGGTGTCCGATAACATTCATTGTCAACCATAGAGTGCTTATTATGTCGTCGAGTCGTGCACGTTTCTCTTAACAGTTCCACGCCACGGGGAGTACATGGGTTGCGACGGTCTCGCACTGGTCATCGTCCCTGCCAGGCTATAGACGGTTGCAGTCATTTTGTGCCACTAATCGACTTTGAACTCTGAAGCCAGCACTGCAATACATAATGGCCTTTATTAATCGCGAATGTTGAGGCTGAAGGAACGTGATCGATGTGTTGTGCTCTGGATTGGTCGTTGTCCTGCAAGCCACAATTGTAGAGAAGAGCATGAGCTTTGCTTACATTTTTGGTTCCATGGAAAATATAGTTTTCTTCCCCAATGTTCTGTTCCGCTCCTGGATATTCCCCAGAGTGATATATTTCTGCTATAGACATCGGTTCTAATGATGGGTGGGGGGGGGGGGAACAAAAAAAACCCTGACAATTATTTTATAACTCTTAGGAGTTGACAAATAATGTTATTCTCTGAGAGAAGCGATTGTGTTATGGGCGCATGTGTCGTGTGTTGTGTGTCGAGTGTGACCAGTAGTGGCTGTCTGGACTTGTGGTGACTGTCTGGACTCGTGGTGACTGTCTGGTCATGGCAATGAAGAGCTGTTAACTCAAACCCAACTGAGCAGGACACAACCACGACTTTGACCCTTTGCACCCTTTGTGGTCTGCTAATGCATGCAGGTGTGTACATACGCAAACCACGACATTTTTCATTGGCAGTTCGTACTCGATGTACATACGTATGTGAAAGGGTATAGCATCAGGACTGCATTGCAGATGCTGCCGGTGGTCATTACAGAGGCTGCAATGGGACGTGTTTGTGTCCCCGCTGACTTGGAGGCGACTTGACAGGCGTGAGTGACACATGAGGCACTATGCGCGGCTGCGCAGGGGGAATGTTTGGAGTTTGGGATTGAGCATGGGATGCCATGTTTCACTGATGTATACAACTGATCACTCGCCATGTGTAAATACATCTTTATTTTCGTAATTGTGTTTAACATCCATTATTTCCTATCGGTATGTTTATGATCTGGGATATTGATTTTGTTGTGTACATGACAGAGTATATATATCGTGAGAGAGATCTGCACAGCTATTGTTTAGTACTGTGTTACGAATTTGTTCCTTGCATTTGCAGAAACTCAACGTTATTTAAAAAAAGAAAATCAGCTTAACATAGTTTCCAACATAACGAAAGGGAAAAGAACTGCACAGTACAGCCGTGGGTGTTTAACATTCCATTTTTTGTGCAACATTGAATCAGGTTTATGTACCTGTATAGGGCATATTTATCAGCCTAACACATTTTGTTGTATCTTTAGTGCATATCATCAAATAAAAAAATCATCTAATGAAATGCAAGCCTTTGCAATGTCTCATGGATTAAGGGTATGGTGTTGAACATCCGTGTGGTCCAGGGATTTTGCGAACAATATGCGCTGCAAAAAAGTTTCAATGTCATTCAATGTCGGCTCTGACCTCCCTCTCTCAAGAAATGGGCCGGCCGGCACGCATCTCCATTCGAGCCCCAAGCCACTGGCTGTCATACATTTGGTGGTCAACAGGACACCCTTTCGACTGATCACCATGGATAATACAGAAGTTTTTTTGGGGTTAGATCGCGTAAATATAAATGTGTCGTTAAACCCACCACCACCCGACAAGGATAATTAGTAAAGTTGTCTCGTAAACAGAACATGCCAATTCGTTACTTGTACATCACACCGGTGTGTTGGAGAGTAAGTCCACCACATTTACAATCTGAGTACGAAATTTGGCATCAGGTGGCAGCCAGATCACTATGGATCTCCATCCTGTACCAGGCATTTCAGAAACTTAAAAAGCAATGAAATTGTTTGTCAGATGAGCCGCTTCGGGCTGGACAGGGGTCCCCCCCCTGCTCTTCGCCCCCCCTCCAACCTTAACCCCTTAGGGGGTGTTGGGGATCGGAAGGCACTGCCCGTTCCACGTGACCCCTCCCCGTGCCGTGTCCTCGATGTAAAAAGGTTTATGCTGCTCGGGGCATCAAGAGACACGTTTCCGTCTCCATAAAGGGAGCTTGAATATCTGCACGAGAAGTTATGAGCGCAACTTGCTTACGCAGAGCCGTCCCCTGGGCTATATGGTGAATCGGGCGACTGCCCCGGGCCCCGCGCTTTGGGGGTGGGGTGGCCCACACGCGGTGTGAGTTGCCCTGGGCCCAGAGGTAGCAAACTGGTTTTGATTCCTTACCCGTACCCGTACCCGGCCGCACCAGGGTCGCAATCGGGTACCCATACCCTACCCGATACCCGGCTACCCGTACCCGGCCGGGTATCGGGTAGGGTATGGGTATGGGTACCCGATTGCGACCTCTGGGATGAAGCCATGTTGCAGGCGCGGATGGGTTGATTCTAGGAACTTGAATTGTGAGAAGAGGCAAGACGTTGGGAAATGAGTGACAAACGGTTACTCACCAGTGACTCACGGCCTACCCGTACCCATACCCGGTCGCACCAGGGTCGCAAAGCGGTACCCGTACCCGGCTGGGTACGGGTAGCTGGGTATCGGGTAGGGTACGGGTATCGGGTACCCGATTGCGACCTCTGCCTGGGCCCGCACCCCCGCTAGGGGTGGCCCTGGCCTTCACTCATTTTCAGTGGGGGGGGGGGGGGGGGAGGGAGACTCTTTCACCGATAAGACATCGCCAGTGAGAGTGAAGGCCGCCACACATTTGAAACCAAGGCCGTAGCCATGGAGTCAACATTGGGGGGGACCAAATCTTCCAGGGTGTTTGGGGGTCCCAACACAGAAAAATATCTAAATTTGAAAAGTAATTTCCTGCCTAAAATATTAAAAAAATTCACTAACACATGGGATGGACTTTTTCTTTATTTTTTACAATGTCTAATAGTGTATTGTATTACATTGCTCTGTTTTTACTTTTTTAACAAGCCGGAAATGCGAAGACTACAGACTGATAAGCTTGATGAGCCACGTGCTGAAAGTCTTCCTGAAGGTGATTCAACAGCGCATACCAGGGGCGGTTTCTTCATAAGGGCGATTGGGCGACGCACCACCAATGTCATTCAACCACAGAGTCACGCTAGCCGTCACTGTGCCTCTGGATATAGTCCAATCAGTGTCATGTCACGTTCGGTGGAGTACCGCCTCTTTTTGGGCGATTTCACTCCGGCTGAGAATCGCCCCGAGTGGCCCCATAGACTTACATTCAAAGATGTTTTTTTTCGACCGGGGGGCGCTGCAATGCATTCTCTATGGCTTCCGGGAGGGCTCGCCCTAACGTGCTTACGTCATCATACGTAAGCACGTTTCATCCAACAATATAATTTGTCGCCACCTAGTGGAATCTTTAATAAAAGAAACTTGAGTGGATTGTATTAATAGTGAGTATAGAAACAAACAAGATGTATTGTAAGAGTCACTTTATTTTTCATTAATATTAAAGAAGTGAAGTTGCCTTTACATGCTTAAGCTGTTAATTTATCCATTGCATGGGTGGACCTTATCCTTATCAATCATCCAGACATTTGCCCCCCCTGAGAGATTTTGCAGGAGCCGCCACTGGTGCATACGCTCCACATGCGAAAATGCATTGAAGAACACAGTTTGGCTTCTGCAAAGGACTAGGCACAAGAGAAGCAATCTTCTGTCTACAGATACACTACAGCGATGCTACGAACATCAGAAAGAAGTGTACATCTGCTTCATAGATTACGAGAAAGCCTTTGACTCAGTAGACCACGACCTACTAGCAGCTCTATTAAAACAACTGGGACTAGATAAAAACGACATCAACTTCATCATTGCTCTTTATTGGAAGCAAACAGCCCAACTACGATATGACAACGAATTGACAGACCCAACACCAATACAAAAAGGTGTACGACAAGGCTGCCCACTGTCACCGAGTCTTTTAAACATCTACTCGGAGTAGATTTTTGATCGAACACTAGCAGATAAAAACATTGGTGTTAAAGTAAATGGACAATACATCAACAACATCAGGTATGCCGACGACACTGCACTGCTGGCCGATTCGGAACAAGACCTACAACAAATCTTGGACGAGGTTGCCGCAGAGAGTCAAATATGGGGCTTACGAATTGACAAAAAGAAAACAAAGGTTATGAAGGTCAGCCGAACTACAAGCGAAATAACAATCAAGCTGGGCAGCAAAAAATTGGAACAAGTACACCGATTTAAATACCTTGGTGTAATCATTGACGATCAGTTGAACCATGAAGTCGAAATCAAGAGCAGAATTGAACAAGCAAGGCAAGCATTTATTAAATGGAAAACACTCCTTGCAGACCGCAACTTGAGTACATCACTGAAACTGCGCACACTGAAATGCTACATCTGGTCAATTTTGCTGTATGGAGTAGAGACGTGGACACTGACAACAACAGCAACAAAAAGGCTCGAAGCTTTCGAAATGTGGCTGTACCGAAGAATGCTGAAAATCCCATGGACAGCCAAAACCACCAATACACAAGTTCTGCAAGATATGGGCAGACAGGCAACTGCTGAAGACCATCATTAGCAGGAAGTATTACTACCTAGGCCACATTGCCCGAAACGACCACAAATACCAGCTATTAAAGCAAATCCTGGAAGGAAAACTCGAAGGGAAAAAACGACCAGGACGGCCAAAAACGACATGGCTCAGTAACATCAAAACATGGCTACAATTAACAACAGCACAAACTCTACACGCCGTGCTAGACCGGGACCAATATCATCGTGAAGTCGCACACGCCGTTAGGCAGCACTAAAGAAGTTTCATTGTATGTAATGGCAGAGATTAGGGATTAATAAAGTACTATCACAACCACAATCATATAAACATAAATCTATGCATTGATTTATATGAAGACAAGTCCAGATATTGTAGCCAATGTTTAGAAAATTATTGTTTTTATTTACATAGCATAGCAATTTTTTATAGCAATATATTGGGGGGACATTTTGAGCATATTTGAATAATCGGGGGGATGTGGTCCCCCCCTCCCCCAATATATATTATAATTACGGCCTTGTTTGAAACCATTGTTGGGGTTTGACAGCAGCACGACGACGACGGGGTGTGTTTTCATTTCTTTATTGTCGGGGGCCGCACTGAAAAGGCCACCAGGGGCCGCTGGCGGCCCGCGAGCCCCCCAATGAAGATGACTGTCTTCACGTTCGCAGGGACACACGTTTGTGTAGTTTCCAGCTCGTTAGGAGCGCCTAACTCGGTTGTTACCGCCACGAGCGGGTTAATGTTCACGTCTACTATACGCGCCCCGTGTCGTGGTCATTATTTCGTGAGTGAAAACCAAAATGTGAAGAATGCAACGCGCGTTCTGAATTCACGGCGGCCGATATTCGTCGTTGTTTGTTCACTCTCCGATCCAACCCCCACAATGGACACCACCATCCCCGTGCCGGGACTCGGATCTCAGTTACTTAGATGTTGACGTGTTTGATCTTTAAGCCTATGCGAGTAGCTATGGTCCATAAGCTTTTTGCTAAACTTTACTTTCTATTTTACCAGGTAAGACCCACTGAGCTGCTATATAGATGGCTCTTCATCAGAAGCAACATGGATATCACAAATGATAGCACAACGAGAAGTGGCTTGTCATGTGGAAATGTCCAGCAGCCAAATACTCTAAACGCGTGATTCTAAATGTGGAGGGAAAATCCAGAGGACCCGGAGACAAATCCATGCGACCTCGGGGAGAGAGAGACACGCAAACTCCTAATTATACAGAATCAATATTTATTAATACTAGAGGAATCTGATGAGCTTGCAAGCTATTTTTCACGGATGTTCAGTAGGGGCACGGGGTAAGAACGCTACAACAACAATAACAAATAATACAAGCACACGATAGCAGTTTACAACAGCAGGAGTCGGGGTCGGGATCGAACGCACGCAGTCCCTGCACACCAGGCGAGGTCGTTAACATCTCCGAGCCGCCGTGGCGGCGCCCACAAGGCGGGACGACGTCTCACAGGTAATGTTCGTGGGGTTTTACCGCGAGTTAGCAGCGCTACACATGTTATTGTATTTTAATTTATATTTTATCGGCTGCAGTATTTTAGAAACTGCCGTTAATTTCGCGCGCGCCTCCTGCTGCTTTGTGACGTCGTCCGCGCGCCTGCTGTTGTATTCTGACGTCACCCGCGCTCCTTGCTGCTGCATTTTGACGTCATCCGCGCGCCTTCTGCTTTATGACGTCACCGCGCGAATTCGCGGAGCTCGCGCCGTCTTCGCGTGACGTCATGTGGGCCTCCTGACTCGTGACGTCACCCCGAGATTTTATTTCGCTTCGAGCAGCGACTGCGAGCTGCGAGTTGCAGGTGACAGCCTCGTCCCTGTGAGCGACGATCCTGAGGGGAGTGGATTGCGTGTGTGGAGTTGCGTGTATGGAGTGGATTGCGTGTGTGGAGTGGCGTGTGTAGAGTTGCCTGTGTGTGGAGTTGCCTGTGTGTGGAGTTGCCTGTGTGCAGTTGCGTGTGTGGAGTGGCGTGTGTGTGGAGTTGCCTGTGTGGAGTTGCCTGTGTGGAGTTGCCTGTGTGTGGAGTTGCCTGTGTGTGGAGTTGCCTGTTGTGGAGTTGCCTGTGTGTGAGTTGCCTGTGTGTGGAGTTGCCTGTGGGTGGAGGTTGCCTGTGTGAGTGCAGGTGTGAGTGGCGTGTGTGGAGTTGCCTGTGTGTGGAGTTGCCTGTGTGGAGTTGCGTGTGTGGAGTGGCGTGTGTGGAGTGGCGTGTGTGTGGAGTTGCCTGTGTGTGGAGTTGCCTGTGTGTGGAGTTGCGGTGTGGGAGTGGCCTGTGTGTGGAGTTGGCCTGTGTGTGGAGGTGCCTGTGTGTGGAGTTGCCTGTGTGTGGAGTTGCCTGTGTGTGGAGTTGCTGTGTGTGGAGTGCCTGTGTGTGGAGTTGCCTGTGTGTGGAGTTGCCTGTGTGTGAGTTGCCTGTGTGGGGAGTTGCCTGTTGTGTGGAGTTGCCTGTGTGTGGAGTTGCCTGTGTGTGGAGTTGCCTGTGTGTGGAGTTGCCTGTGTGTGGAGTTGCCTGTGTGTGGAGTTGCCTGTGTGTGGAGTTGCCTGTGTGTGGAGTTGCCTGTGTGTGGAGTTGCCTGTGTGTGGAGTTGCCTGTGTGTGGAGTTGCCTGTGTGTGGAGTTGCCTGTGTGTGGAGTTGCCTGTGTGTGGAGTTGCCTGTGTGTGGAGTTGCCTGTGTGTGGAGTTGCCTGTGTGTGGAGTTGCCTGTGTGGAGTTGCGTGTATGGAGTGGACTGCGTGTGTGGAGTGGCGTGGCGTGTGTGGAGTGGCGTGTGTAGAGTTGCCTGTGTGTGGAGTGGCCTGTGTAGAGTTGATTGCGTGTGTGTATGGAGTTGTTTGTAGAGTTGCGTGTGTGTGGAGTTGTTTGTAGACTTTGTGCGTGTGTGGAGTTATTGTGCACATAGCCTGGCACAAGCGCCGTGGTGACGTCACCGCCACTTAGTGGCTAATGGCGGCTGCTGTTGTTGTTGTGGTGGAGTCGCGTGTCTGTGTGTGGATGGGGCGAAACGGGCGCGCTCCGGAAGAGATGGACCGATGTTGGTTGCGGGAGGATGCGGAGCTGATGACCGGCACTGTATCAGCAGTGTCTAGAGCGGCCTCTGTGGAGGACGCTCACAACAACGAGCAGAGCGCGCTGCGGATAAAACGCAGATTGTCACTGTGGGGAATTGCAGTTGGTGCATCTGTCGGCCATCTCAGGCAAACCCATAGAACCAGCAGGGTCTGTTCTGTGACCTGCTCGCAGCGGGCCTGCGACACTTCACGTGGCCTCAAAGTGCACCTAGCCTGGCATAAGTGCCGCCGTGACATCATCGCCACTTAGTGGCTACCGCCAGCCGTTGCTGTGTTGGGGGGTGCCGCCGCTGCTCCGTGAGCGTTGCCTGCACCTTGATGTTGCTGCTGCTGCGTGCGGTGTGGAGATTGTGGATCGTCTCGTCTCGAGGACGCAGAAAGGAGGAGGAGACACGGGGGGTGGAGGCTTTGGAGCTGCTCGGCAGCCCAGGCTCGAGCCGCTCCGTTGCTTTCACAGACACGTGAGCGGCTCAGCCGTCGTTCTCCTCGGGCCCAACTCATTGTTAAGAGCCGGCTCACCCGAGCTGTCGCCGTCACTCGGAATCGAAATCTTTATTGATCCAGGTGAAATCCGATGAGCTATGAAGCTCCAAAATGGGACCTTTTTGCCAGCATTAAGTATGAAAAAATAAGAATAGATTTTTTTTACCGAGAAAGGTTTTACCCTTTCTGGCAATGAAGCAGGTGTTAAGATGTTCAAACACCAATTAGAAACCTTTTGCAAGGAATCAAGTCTGCATTAACCACACGTACTTGTGGTTTTTACTGTTCGCCTTTTCGCGTTCTCTGGTCTGACACTGGTGAGACTAGACTCTAAAGAAGGCTGTCTCTGGTGTAGGCCAATTAGTTTCAAAGACAATGCATATATCAGAACCTGTACAGTTTAATTTTGACTTAACGTTTGTAGTGAGTCCAACTGAGTCGCAGATGTCTTGGGAGCAACACTATTCAATAAGTCAACATAACATAACCTACACTTGGGTGTTGAATTCTCATGTAGCTGCGCGACGGCAGAACTATACACGGTTCGCTATCCCGGCCCGGGCCACAAGCTGGGTCCCGGACCGCGTGGCTAGAGGCTTCTTTTACCCGACGTGGATCTTCATCGCCAGCAACACGAAGAACCCCGGAGCCCCTCACGGGGCCCCCGTTATATCGGCCTGGGCTGGAACTGGCTCCGCCCCTCACCCCGCCACCTTCTAGATCTCTTGAGCTCTTTCCCGAAGGCTCCCCGAGAGCTCTTTTATACCATGTGACCGCCCAGCGGCCTCTGTCCACCGGTGGCCCTCCTCAAATATCATCCGGTCACGTGTTGGCAGGTCAACCAGCGTATCATGCCCCAATGTAACCCTGGCTGGCTGACACTCCCTCTCGCTCCCTCACCGGGAGCTCGCGCCGCACACTGTACGTGGTGCCTCCGTGCTGACCAGCCCCGCTAGGGCTGGTACTACGCCCAGTAAGCGGGCTACACATAATGCCAACACATCCGCCGTGGCTTCGTAAGCCCGGCACCACACAGTGACAATCACAGTCACTACATCACCCCCCCCCCCGCCGTAGCTTCCAGTCGTCTCGGATGCCAACCCCCCCCCCCCCCCGCAAGTAAGCAACCAACGTACAATTATACAGAACAAACAAGTGTGCTCCAACAATAACGCAATAAATTACCCAAACCCAACTGTACAATATATACACGGAGAGATAAAAGAAAAGATGAACCCAACAATCGCGTCGTACAAGATCCCCACAACATCTCCCACTCAGAACGTGTAACAGCGCCCGTGAGCTCGATGGCGAGCAGGATCGGCCAAATACTCGCCACGACTCATGCGAGCGCGACAGCCCATTACGGTGTGGGAGTGTGCAATGCGTAACGCTGGTCCTCCAGGCGAATTGGGCTCGACCGCCCTGGAAGGCCCGGGGGGAACAAGAAATCGACCCGACGAAGCCGGCTCCTCACGAAGAGCAGTAGGCCGGGTCGCCGGGTCCTTCACGTCCAGAGCACGTGAGGCCGACACGAGCGACCGCGTGCGAGGCATCAATCACGAGGCGCCTGGGGGTGGAACAGAAACACCTGAGGATCTGTGTCGGCAGACGCACGCCCCAGCTCGTCGGGCACACCCGACGCTCGGCCCTGCGATATAGAGATGATACAAACTCACAAGGCGCGATAAACGGCTTCAGACGAGAGGGGTGTACAAACCAGCTCCGCTTACCGAACCGAATCTGGACACACTGCGGCCGCATGATTCGAACCACATCAACCGGCCCCCTCCATGGTTGCAGCAATTTGGGAAATGTGCCGACTGGCACCTGCGGATAATGCAACCAGGCCTTGTCCCCCGGTGACCAATCGCACAGGGAAACACAGGCGCCTTTGAGCCTCTCGTTAGCCAACTATTTGGCACGAGAGTTAACATTGGCAGCTTCCCGCGCCTTGGAAAGTTTGGCGAGCGTGAACCGAATTGAATCAGATATTTTGGACACCTTCGGGGTGGGCGCGGCTTGTAACTGCACATCGATGGGAGGATCATACTCCCATACATAAAAAAGGGAGAGTAGCCGGTGGACGCATAAGGGGCCATCCTATAAGTGACAAGAACCGCAGGAATATGCAAATCGCAATTGACCTGTGACACGCTAACCAAGTGACTCAACATGGAGGTCAGAGTCCGGTGTAGGCGTTCGACCATGCCATCCATTTGCAGGTGGTACGGCAACGTGCATACCTTTTTCATCCCCAGCAAATTGCACATGTCACACAGCAGCTTGGACGATTTTTTTTGCCTTGATCCGTCAAGAGGCGCTCGGGGGCACCCTTATCCAGAACATCGCTATTGAGGAATGCCTCGGTAATAGTCACCCCCGATTGATTCAGGAGCGACCAGGCCATAGGCCAGCGTGAGAAATACTCAACGCCCACAAGCAAGTACCTATTTCCACGCGCGGAAGCAGGAAACGTCCCGAGAATATCAAGCGCAACAATTTCATTTACACGCAACACTTGGATGGATTTAAATGGAGGGCAACAGGATCTCGCTGGCGGCTTCTGCTGGGCACTTTGCACGCAGCCCTTAAGCAGATCCTCGACGTCGGAGGCCATGGCTGGCCAATAAAAATCCAATTTAAGAGTGGCCCACGTCTTTTGCACTCCGAGGTGCAACAACCGTTTATGCACAGCCCAAACAACTTCGCCACGCAGGGCAGTAGGGACAACAATAGCATAACAGTGCAATCCTCTGGCCCAGCGCACCTTGAAATGTCGCCCGTACAATTACGGCCGATATTGTTGCACAAAAACGACAATGGCGAATAGCTCCCGGCGCGTTTCGCAGTACTGCTGCTCGGCCTGAGACAGCACTCTGCTGCCATACGCGACCACGTGCTCCACGCCATTAACGACTTGGGATACCACCGCACCAATGCCGGTATTACTGGTGTCCGTGTCCAAAACGAACGGCAACGAAAAGTCGGGATAACGCAGGGGAGGGGCGTTACGAATAAAGTGGAACGCAGCTTCCTCCTCCCAATGAAATTTTTGTCCCTTAACTGTCAAGGCGTGGAGAGGTTTTGCTATAGATGCGAACCCCACTACAAATCGTCAATAATAAGATCAAAGCGGATAAAACTGCACACCTCGCTGGCCGAGGTGGGGGTCGACCACATCTGAACGCGATTCCCGATTCGCTGATTATATGGCCCAAGTATCAAACAGATTTTTGGAGTAGGTGACAT